ACCACTCGCAGGAGGACCTGAGTCACCAGTGACCTCAACCGGCGCAGTCAAGGGAGGAGGGTCTACCTGAGAAACACCTGAAGGAGCAGGACCGGGAGCGGGGAGGGGGTCTACCTGGGGAGCACCTGGAGCAAGGAAGAGCGGCGGGGGGGGGAGCGAGGCAGTGCGGTAGGGGAAGAGACGGTAAAAGGGAACCGACTCGTCGAACGTGACGTCCTGAGACGCAAAGACACGGCGCGAGGTGGGGTGGTAAAACTGCCAACCAGGCGCGTCAGGGACAAAGCCAAGGAAGACACAGGGAACAGCGCGGGCGGAGAGCTTGTCCGCGGTGGTATCGCGGACAAAGGCACGAGCACCCCAGACCCGGAAACGCGACGCATCGCCAACCTTCCCCGTCCACAGCAGTGTGGGCGAGGTCTCCGGCAAGGAGACACGGGGCCAGAGGTTGAGCTGATGCGCGGCGTACCGGACCGCAAACGGCCACAGAAAATGGGGGGCAGCCGCATGGATCATGGAGGTACGAGCGACCTCCATGACTAAGCCAATGCGGCGCTCAGCAACCCCATTCTGTTGCGGAGAGGCCGGAAGCGTGAACGACTGGGTGATGCCGTGCTCCGCACAGTAGGCTGCCAAGAGGTCGGAGGAGAACTCACCACCTCTGTCAGAGTGCAGACGCAGGACAGGAAAGTCCGACCGGAACCGCTCGCGGAGCTGGAGACGAACAGCGCGGATCCAGGGGATCAAAATAGCAGGGACGTCCCCCTTGCTCTGCAAGGGGAAGACCGTGGTGTAACGTGTGTAGTCGTCGACGACCAGCAGGAAGTACCGCTCGCGGCCCTGTCCCTGGACGCGGGCTGGGCCCCACACGTCCAGATGGAGCGTCTGCAGTGGAGCCTCTGTGGGAGGAAACGAGGAGGAGTGAGGAGCGGCGCGCTGCCGCCCCTCGACGCAAGGAATGCAGGGCGGCACAGGCGAGGGAGGGAGGGCAGGCAGGGACCTGGGAAGACCAGAGACCAGGGAGCGAGAGTGCATGCTACGCAGGCGAGGCAAGGAGGGGTGACCAAGGCGGTGGTGCCACAGGAGAGTGTTGTGCGACAAAGCGCGACACTCGCAGGGGGCCGCCAGCTGACCAGACGCAGACGCAAACGCAGACGCAGCTACCTGAGGGGACTCAGTGGTCAGTGTGTACAGACTCGAGCCAGGTGCACGGGTGAACGTGGCCAAGTGCCGGCCCGTCCTAGCACACGTACAGTGAGTCACTCGCTGACTCGCAGGAGTGAACTGGTGAACCCCCCCATCCTGGAGGTCAGCTCCACTCACCAAGTTCGTAGAGAACGAGGGGAGGTAAAGACCTGACAGCGAGCCGGACGGGACGGCCGGACACGGCAGAACCGTGGAATAGTGGGCAAGGACTGGACCCCCAGAGGGGTCCGCCAGGGAGACCGGGACTGGCCGACGGAGCGGCGTGAGTGCGGTGCAGTCGCGAAAGAAGGAGCGGGAAGCTCCTGAGTCAAGGGTGAAGGTGTGCGAGACCGTAGTGGGCGCAGTACCAGAGAGAGCAGACACAGCAGCACCTGAAGCCACGGCCTCACCAGTACCTAGAGCAGTAGACGTACTAGCACCGAGAGCAGCAGCCTCACCAGCACCTAGAGCAGGAGACGCACTAGCACCTAGGGCAGCAGCCTCACCAGGGTCAGGCGGTACGCACAGGCAACAGGCACGGTCAGCACTAGTAGACAATGCATACATGGCAGTGAGAATAGCATCATAGTCAAGCGCAAAGATATCTACCCTCTGTCTATGCAGCTCCAGCCAGGTGGGGAGCTCAGCCTCGTCGCCAAACACTGTGCGCCAGTCGTCGCTCAGACGGGCGAAGCAGCGGGACTGTGTGTGACCAAGCGTCCCACAAGGCTGACTAGTCCTAGCACCTGTGCGAATGACGTACGGGCAGCGGACTGTACGCGTAGACCTGCTACACTGAGCGTACCACTCCTGGAGCTGCCGGGGCGTAAGTGTCTCACGTGGACGTCCCTGCAGCTGCAGCTGGCCACTGCCAGACGCTCCCAACTGACCAGCTCCAGGGCGACAGCTACGACGGCTACCGCGACAACCCCAGCTAGTATACCACTCACTAAGCTGCTGAGGCGTCAGAGGCTCGCGTGAATGTCGCTGGAGCTGCATCTGGCCACCTGCCAGTAGCAGTAGCGCAGGAAAGGCAGGCGCGGCAGGCAGGCAAGCAAGCAGGCAGGCAGGCAGGCAGGCAGGCCGGCAGGTAGGCAGGCAGCCAGGCAGGCAGGCAGGCAGGCAGACAGGCAGGCAGGTAGGCAGGCAGGCAGGCAGGCAAGTAGACACGCAGGCAGACAGGCAGGCAGGCAGGCAGGCCGGCAGGCAGGCAGGCAGCCAGGCCGGCAGGCAGGCAGGCAGACAGGCAGGCCGTCAGGCAGGCAGGCAGGCGCTCACCAAAGGCTGGGAGAGCAGGGCCGGCGCTCGAGTAGGCGCACGACAGCGGCGACGTCGGGGCCGCAAAACCGGCTGCAGAGCAGGGCCGAAACAGCTGGAGGGCGCTGCCGCGTCAGCGGCAGTAGCAGGGTGGGGCCGCGTCAGCGGCAGGTCGGGGTCGTGGCAGCTGCAGGGCGGGGCCGCATCAGCGGCAGGTCGGGGCCATGGCAGCTGCTGGGCGGGGCCGCATCAGCGGCAGGTCGGGGCCGAGGCAAAGGGCCGCGCGCGGCCGCGCTAGGGAGTAGCGGGCCGCGCGCGGCTCGGCGCGGGCTGTTGCGGGCCGCGCGCGGGCCGTGCGAGGCAGGAGCAGGCCTCGCGCGGCTCGGCACGAGCTGCTGCGGGCCGCGCGCGGGCTGCGCGAGGCCGTAGCAGGCCGCGCGCGGCTCGACGCGGGCTGCGCGGGCTCGGCGCGGGCTGCGCGCGGCAGCTGCGAGCTGCGCGCGGCTCGGTGCGGGCTGCGCGCGGTTGCAGCGGGCTGTGCGCGGCTCGGTGCAGGCTGCGCGCGGCTGCAGCGGGCTGCGCGCGGCTCGGTGCGGGCTGCGCGTGGCTGCAGCGGGCTGCGCGCGACTCGGGGCGGGCTGCGCGATCTCGGTGCGGGCAGCGCGCGGTAGCAGCGTGTGTGCGGGCCCGACAGGCGTGTAGAGGCGGCGCGCGGGCCTTACGGGCCTCTAGGGGCAGCGCGCAGGCAAGGCAAGGCAAGGCAAGGCATACAAGGCAAGGCAAGGCTACGTGGGGTAGCGCGGTAACCGCAGCGGTAGGTGGGCCCGAAAAAAAAACGGTCCTACGGACCTTAGTGCTCTGAAACCATGTTAGAATCTAGCAGCAGGAAAAAATGAATGAACTAACAGGATGCAGGAGTACAAGTAGTAAACCCTAACTAGGTTGTACCCCATATGGGCTACCCCACTACAGCCTAGACAATATGCAGCACATATAGTTTGACAGGACGGTCCGTCTTCTGCCCGACGCTTGTTACGGCGTTCGCCCGCAGAATCGCGGGCGTTACGGTCGGAGTCGGAAGCGGGGGTTGACGAGTTCCCGTTGTTAAGTGTCGGCGTAGGTGCCATCGTTGAGCGATTGAAGTTGAAAATGTCGCTGAGTAAAGTAGAGGGTGACTCGCCTCTAGGAAGCGATTTAATCCTAGCCAGCTTGGAGGGAAAAACTACTCGAGCGGAAATGTTGAGTGAGCCGTTTGAAAATTGAGAAACGTGGGTGGAGGGAAATGAGCTCCAACCCACGGTTTTTGTAGTTGGAGAAGGGCGTTTAGCGCGCTTCGACGATGCCAATTGTGCAGTACAAGCAGCTTCGCTTTCACAATACACAATTTTAAAAAAAAACTACATGTGTGTTTAAAAATTATAATATCATAAAAGCACCATGTGCGAGACTGTTGTTGGCCGGATGGGATGGACTTTGTTTGGAGGATAACAGTTTACGGAGCGTACAGTAGAATCATAAGGCCTCCATTGCAGTGGCAGAGAAAACAAAAAAGAAACGTCAGCTGCTAAGCACAACAGTAGTAAGCACCGGACTGCAGTTGAGAACAATCAATTGTACGAAACGAACAGTCAGAAACTGGCAAGATGGTGCATGGAGAGGCAGAAAAGTGGCGTCAATGGCTGAGCCATGGGACTGAATCACAGAAGAACAAGAAGTGGTGCGAGCTGGTGAGAACTGGCTGGTGCATGGCAGGTCTCAGCACACGACTCTGCTGGAATGGCTCTGCAGATTTGCTGAATGGCACTGACTTTTGGGTGGCGCTTCGGAGAGCGGTCAAGAGGGTTGGTGCAGGGTGGTTGTGCAGCGAGGAAGAATGGTTGTAAGTGGCAAGGAGTCGAGCTTGCACGCGTTCCTGTTCAACACAAGCCACAGACGGATACACGGTAATACCGTCATCGCCCGGATATAAGACATATATGTCTTATCTCGTACACGGGCAAAAATGCTTGAGTTATCTTGTAAACGGGATGGTTTAGGGTGTCTTATAAATCTTATAAATGGACAAAGAACCGTTTAGAAGATACCCCCTCGCTATACATTTGCCCCTAACTCCTACACTTTCTTAACCCGTACACACAAATAGGTGTCTTATAATGAGGCTAGCCTGTTTATAAGAGACACCCGTATAATAGACAACCCCTGTCTACTATTCAACACTGTCTTATATCCGGGTGATGACGGTACCGGTATTCAGATAGTAGATGCTAGGTCAGTGGACGGAGCACGTGTGCTTGAGCAGGTTACAATACGATGAGATGGGTTGCATCATCGGCCAGTGGGCAGGCAGAGCAATTGTATCTGAGAAGGCTGTGTGTGATGGGCCGTTTCAGTCAGTGGGCAGGTGAGGGGTGTGTGGGGTGTGCGGGGTGTACGGGGTGCGAGGGGTGTGAGGGGTGTGTGTGGTGTGCGGGGCATGAGAGCGCGGAGCACTTGTGCTTGAGCAGGTCGCGTTGAGTGTGTTGGGGCGCATACCACTGAATCAGCAGGTCCATGGTGGCAGGTCAGGGCGAGAAGCACTTGTACTTGACCAGGTTGCGCCACTTGTCTTTGAGGTCCACTGCCGTGCGCGAGGGGTGGAAGCGGTGCCGGCCGTCCTGCAGAATCAGCTTCCACTTGGCCCCCGCTGCCCTGTGCCTCTCCATCAGCTCCTGATCAAGGAAGGGAGGAGAGAGAGAGGGCGAGGGAGGGAGAAAGAGGGCGAGTGCGGGAGAAGGAGAGAGCGAGCGAGGGAAAGGGGGGCCGAGCGAGTGAGAGAGAGGGCAAGCGAGAGGGAGAGAGGGAGTGAGAGTTGCATGGGTGGAGTGTCGACATTGGAGAGAGGCGATAGCGTTGAGCAGTGAGCAAGGAGATACGGATGCATGTAGGGTGAAGAGAAGGTGACGATGGTGAGACCACATGATACTGAGTCAAAGGGTGAGCGCACGCACGGACATGCGGCGTGTGTGTGTGCGTGCATGCGTGTGTGCGTCTGCGAGCGCGAACAGGCGCCAACACAGCACAGGCGTACCAGCAGCAATTCTTCCTCGTCTTCTGTCCACTTGTGCCTTGCTCGCCGCCCACCAGCAGCACGGGCAGCAGGGCGAGCAGCAGCAGCAGCCGCAGGAGGCGTGGCAGCAGCAGCGGGATGAGGCAAAGGTGGTGAAGGAGGTGCAACTCTGCCAGGGCGAGCAGCAGGAGGAGAAGCATCAGCCGCAGTAGCACGAGCAGCAGAGGTACCACCGGTGGCGGCAGTGGGTGCACGAGGAGCAGAGGTGGTCTTCTGGGTTCGCCCACGGCTGGCAGGGATGAGGAACGAGTTGATGCCGGCAGTGTGGGAGATGCAAGGACGGGGAGTGGATGTAAGTATGGAACAAGTAGTGAAGCATCACGACTGGACGCTGATATTGAACACACTAAAGCAACGCGTGTTGAGGGAGGGAGTGCAACGAGGAAATACCAGACCTAGGAATATAACAGCCATGAGCAATAGTTTGAACCACCAATCTGGCTCGTCAGTGCGACCCGTCAACATGATAAGGCGAAGCCGCAATACAGAGTGACCTTCGTATCGTCCTGATATGACACGAACTGGCATGGCATGACACACTAGGGCTTCTGCTTGTCAGCAATGGTGCTACAAACGAAAAAGAAAGCACCATCTCACCTGGCCGATGCCTTCCGTCCCCCCTCCTCCTCCTCATCCTCCTCATTGTCATCCTCCTCCAGCTGCACCGCATCTCCCTCCTTCCTCCCCTCCTCCTCTCCCTCCTCCTCCTCCTCCTCACTCCTCATTCGCCCACGCCCTCCACCTCCCCACCTGCCTCCTCCCGCCCCAGTCTCTTCCTCCTCGTCACCAGCAGCAACGCCCACTCGCCTCTTACTCCTCTTCCCTGCCGACCCAACAACTTCCCCTCTTCGCCTCTTCAACCCGCTCCCGCCCACCCTACCACCAGCAGCACCGCCAGCAGCACTAGCACCTTCAACCACCCTCTCAGAAGGAGATGCAGCACGCACCTCACCTTCCTCCTCTTCCTCATCATCATCATTCCCCTCCCTGTCCTCCTCCTCCTCCCTCTCCTCCTCCTCCTTCTCCTCCTCTACCTCATTCCCCTCCTCCTCCTCTAACTCCCTCCTATTCTCTGCTCCCCCCACATCACCACCACCCCACCCTCTCAACAGTCCACCTCGCATAAGCCCTTTCAGTTCACGGCTCAGCTTTTTCCTCACCTGCCCAGCCATTTTCCCCCCCGTCCCCTTCCCCACTCCCTGCGCTGCTGCCCCCTTTGCCCCCTCAACTTGCTTCTCCTTCCCGCCCTTCCTACCAATACCTTTCCTTCCCCTCTGCACGTTCCCAACCTCTCCCCCCTCCTCCTCCTCCTCCATGTGCTGCCTTTGTCCCTTACTCGCTGATCCCCCCTTCCCTGTCATCACCTTACTCGCTGATCCCCCCTTCCCTGTCATCACCTTACTCGCTGATCCCCCCTTCCCTGTCATCACCTTACTCGCTGATCCCCCCTTACTGGCATCCCCTGCCCACCCCACCCCTATCCCAGGCCCCTCCACTCTCTCATTCCTCTCATCGAAGGCCACCCTTCGTTGCGCTTTCGCCTTGCCTTTCACACTGGCTCCACTCCTCATCCCCCCCTGCTCCTGCTCTCCCCCTTTTCCTTGCAAAGGAGTAGAGTCACACTCAACACGAGCAGCACGATCAGAACTGCCCCTTTCACCCTTCTCACTCCTTTTCACCACATTATCTCCCATCCCCTGCTCCCCTCCCTTGCGCTCTCGCTGCTCCCACATCGCCCGCAGTCCCTTACTCAGCCTATTCCCCTCTGCCTCCCTGCCACCTCGTCCCAACTCCTTCCTCTCAACACCACCCTTCCCTCGCACATCCTTCCCAGCAGCACGACCACTCCCGTTTCTAGCAGCAGCAGCAGCAGCAGCGGCAGCAGCCGCACTGTTCCCATGTGAGCCAGCACCACCCGCTCTCCCATATCCAACAGCAGCATGAGCCTTCTCCTGCCTGCCTCTCCACTGCGCACCACCTCTATCTGCTCCTCCTGGTGTCCCATATGCATCCCTGCGCCCACCCAAGCCCTTCCGTATCTGCACCTCCTGCTCCCCCTCCTCATCCTCTTCCTCCTCCTCTTCCACCTTTTCCTCCTTTTCTTCCTCCTCTTCCAGCTCTTCCACCTCTTCCTCCTCCTCTTCCTCCTCCTCTTCCACCTTTTCCTCCTTTTCTTCCTCCTCTTCCAGCTCTTCCACCTCTTCCTCCTCCTCTTCCTCCTCCTCTTCCTCCTCTTCTTCCTCCTCTTCCCCCACCGCCTCCTCCCTTTCTTCCCTCTCCTCCCTCTCTTCTTCATCCTCCCGCTCCTCTCTCTCATCGTACATGCCAAATGCACCTGCAAGTCCTTCTGCGTCCCCACCATCCTCATTCGCCCACCTCCACGCATTTCCATCCGCCTCCTCCTCCCCTCTTCCCTCCTGCCGCTTGCTCTTCCCCCAACCTCCTCTCCTCTGCTCCCCCCTACTCTCGCTCCTCTCCCTTCTTTTCTCTCTCCCTTTCTCCCTACTCTCCCTTCCCTCAATCCCTTTCTACCTCCCTTTCTCCCTCCCACCACTTCCCTCCCCTTCACACCTTCCACCCTCTTCTTTCCCAATCGCCTCCTTTTTCCTCCTTCCCCGTCCACCCTGTGTCCCCCAACCCTAGGTGTATTTTTACTCTTCCTAGCCCTAATCCAAGCTCTTCCTCTCGCTCTCCCCTTCCCTACCCCCATCCCCCTAGCATTGACACCACGCCCACGATCCATTGGCATTTCCCTCTCCTCGTCCTCCTCTTCCAACTCGTCTGCCTCCTCCTCCTCTTCCTCTCCCCCAACTTCCCCTTCCTCCATCTCTCCACGCTCTTCCTCTCTTTCCTCTTCTCCCTCTTCCTCTGTTGCCTCTTCTTCCTCCTGCTCCTCCTCGTCTGCCTCCTCTTCACCATCATCCTCAATCCTTTCCTCTTGCAACTCTCGTCTCCCCTCCTCTTCCTCCTCTTCCTCCGCGCCCTCCTCCTCCCCAGTCTCTTCTTCCCACATCTCCAGTTCCTCTTCCTCTTCTTCCTCCTCCTCCACCTCCACCTCCTCCGCCTCACTTAAATCCTCCATTTCAAACAGGTCAGCCACTCCCCCCTCTGCTCCCTCCCTCTCCACCTCCACACCCTCACCTCCCTCCCCTCCCATCCCCGCACCCCTGCCCCTCTCCCCACCCCCAGCCCTCGCACCTTTCCTCCACTCACCACCTGCATCATCAGCGTCAGCAGCAGCAGCAGCAGCAGCAGCAGATGCAGCAGCGTGTCACTCGTTTACTCCCTTCCCTTACAGCAGCCCCCCCATCAGCGCCCCTGTCACCAGCAATGGATTTGAAAGGGGATTTTTTTAACCCATTCATTGCACCACCTGCTGCTTCTTCCTCTCCCTCGTCCTCGCCCTCGCCCTCTTCCCCGCCCTGCCCCTGCTTCTGCCCATGCTTAAGCCCCTGTGCCTTCTTCCTCTTGCCTAGGGCAGCATCCAAACCACTCCCGCTCGCAACAGTGCCTTCAACACCCCTCCCGCCTTTCCCCTGCGCCCTCCCTTCCGCCCTCCCTTCCGCCCTCTCTTCCGCCCTCCCATCATCTCTCCCACTCTCCTTGCTCTTTTCCTTGCGTCCTGCTGCCTTCCCTCCCTTCAATACCCCACCTGCATCCCGCGCCTCTCCCCTTTCCCCTCCTTCCTCTTCTTCCTCCTCCCCAGCTGCTGCTGCCATTCGGGAGTCAAGCACAACACGAACCTCTGCCACTCCATCTCGCTCCTCCAACCCCTCATGCACGCTCTCCCCTTTCCCCTTCCCCTTCCCCTTTCCTCCGCTCCTCCTCTCCTTCTCCCCACTTCCCCCCCCTTCCACAACACCTCCACCCCTCCTCTCTCCCCCATTACCGCCGTCCAAACCCCCATACGCTTCCCTCTCCCCCCATTCTCCTACCCCCCTCTGCTTCTTCCCCTCCCCTCCCTGCTCCTCCCCTTGCCTCTCCCCTTGCCTCTCCCCCTGCCCCACCGGCCCCTCCTCCTGCCCATCCCGCTGCCCCTCCTCCTGCTGCAGCTTCTTCTGCAGCTTCACTGCCAGAGGAGACAGCCTCATCCTCTTCATCCGCTCACTCCGCACACTCTCCAGCTCCCTCTCTCTCTCCCTCTCCTCCTCCTCCAAGCAACCCTTACACGTCCATGAGCTCACCTCCAGCACGTTTTGAAACAGCATGCCCGCACAGTCAAAGTGAAACATCTCCGCACACCCCTCGCACGGGAACAGCGGTCCTGCATGACCCCCTGTCGCCCTGCCCTTGCCCCCTGGCCCATGCCCGCAGACTGAACACACCAGCACCGCACATCGCTTCCTGCCACTGCCGATGGGGGTACCCATGTGATTAACACCACCCATGCCCATACCTGTCCGTGTGCCCATACCCACAGGTGTGCCTGGGGGTGCTCCTGCACCCATGCCAACTCCGCTCTCCCCACGCCTTGTCGTGACTCCCTTCCCCGCCCCCGCTTCACCTCCATTCAGCCGTGCATCAGCTCCCGCACCTCTCGCTTTCTCTGCTGCTCGCTCTCCATCCGCCCCTGCCCCAACTGTTGCCTCCTGTTCCTGTGCCTCTGCCCCAGTCTCTGCACGTCCTTGCGCCTTATCCTTCCCATCAGCCTTCCCCCCAGCCTTGGCCTTGGGAAGGGACTGCCTCTCTGCTGCTGATCCTTGCATGTCCGGAGCATGCCCATTGCCTTGCGCCTGTCCATCCTCCTTCCGCACTTGAAGGAACCGGAACAGCACGCGCTCCTCCTTCTCCTGCCCCTCCTGCTCCTCCTGCCCCTCCTGCTCCTCCTCCTCCTGTTCCTCCTCCATATCACCATCAACTTGCTTCTCCCTGTCCCCCGTCTGCTCTCCCTCCCTGCCCTCCCTGCCCCCCCTCTCCTCTCTCCCTTCCCTCAACCTCTCGTCCCTCCCATTCCTAACCTCATTCTCACGTTCAAAATCCTCCCTCGCTCCTCCGTTTCTCCCCACTCCCATCCCCTTCTCTCCCCCCTTCCCTCGACTCCCCTCCACCCCTTCAACCGCCCCTCTCCCTTCACCTCCTCCATCCCTCCCATCCCCTCCCTCCCCTTTCTCCTTCTCCCCGATTTTCTCCCTCCCTCCATCCGCCTCCCTTTCTTTATCCTTCTCCCTCCCTCCATCCGCCTCCGTTTCTTCATCCTCATCCTCATCCTCCACCTCCTCATACACCACGCGCCTCACATGCCGCCGCCCAGCCCATGGAATCTTCCCCTTGTGATCTCTCCCGTTGCTCCTCTTCCCCCGCTCACCTCCTTCCTTGCCCTCTCGCCCCAAACCCTCTCCTTCTCCCTCGACTTGTTTCTCCTTAGCACGTGTTTCTCCCGCTGCTGCTTCAGCTGCCCCCGCTTCTCCCACAGCTGCTCCTCCTGCACCTCCTCCTGCACCTCCTCCTGAGTCTGCTGTGTCTCGCCTCTTCTTCTGCGCCCCATCCATCCCTGCTGCTGCTTTTCCCCCGCCTCCCCTTGCCCCACCAACATACGCATCCACAGCAGCTTGCCGCGATTGCAAGAACACAAGCGGAAGCTTCCTCCCTTTGCGATGCTGCAGGGGAAAGGCAGTGAGCGAAGGGACACAGACAAACGTTTTAGGCGCTTCAAACGAAGCAGCAGGAGAACAGGAGAGGCTGTCTGCCCTGATGTTGCTGATAGGGAAAGGCAGTGCGTGGGCCGATGGGGATATTTTGCACATCCATACATCCCACAATGGATAATGATCATGCAATGGAGCAAAAAAGCGCAGGAAAGTCAGACGTGGACTTTTATCCCTGCTCGCTGCTGCTCTACACCAAGCAGCAGCAGCACTACCATGACTAAACTGAGTGCAACAAGTGAGGAAGGAGTGGAACGCACTTGCCCCAATGTCACCTCTGCTCCCTGCTCCGCTCACCTGCTTATGCCCTGGTTGCTTCTCCCCTCCAGCAGCACCAGCAGCATCAGCGCCACAGCCAGCAGCACCGGCAACACCGGCAGCACCAGCAGCACCAGCAGCAGTACCAGTGGCAGCGGCTTCATTGGAAGCGGCATCATCCCCACCCTTCCTTCCCCGTCTCTGCGTCCTCTCCACCTCCTCCTCCTGCTCAGCTCCCTGCTCGCCCCCCTGCCTCATACCACCATCCACCTCTTCCTCCCCTGCCCTTTCCTCCGCCCTTGGCAATGCAAACCCCTTCAGCCCCTTCCTGCCATCCCCTCCCCCCTCACTCCCCGCCTTCCCTTTACTGGCTTGCATTGCTTCATCCCCCTCCTCGCTCAAACTGACCTCCCGCATGGGCCTAGTCACCTTCTGCTTCTTCCTGCTCCGCCTAACACGTATCTCTCCTCCCTCCCTGCCGCCCATGTCTTCCCCCAAACGAGGAGCAGCACCATCAGCAGCACTAGCACCAGCAGCAGGAGCAGGAGCAGGCGAAGCAGGGCGAGGAGCACGGCCAGCAGCAGCATGATGGCGAGGCGTGGGATGGGGTGCAGGCGGGTTGGTTTGAATCTTCCAGTGACGCAGTTGCTGGGTGGGCGGAGAGAAAAAGACAAGGCAAAGAAAGAGATGACCATGAGAGACAGTCAACAAGGTGGGCACTGAAAGGTTGCATAGATAGTCCATGGGCAAACAATAAGAAAGGCGTTCATATTACTGCATGGCACTTTACGTCACGCCGCCACGGGTTACGCAATTTCACTCACTCACCAGATGCAGCAACATGAGAGGAGAAAGCAAGCCCCAACGGAGGTCCACTTGTCCATGCGCGGATGCAATAACCGGTTCACAAGCTCAGCAATCACCACGGTCACGCTCAGTGAAACAATCGCCACAGTCAGCAACTGTCCTGAAGTTTGACGCCCAAGATGCCTGAGTCGACTCAACACTCACCAGGCGCAGCACAGGGGGAGGCAGCGCAGCAGCAGCCCAGCCCACCAGCTATACATTGGAATCACTTTCGAGAGTTCTCAAAAGAAACTCACCTGAAGCAGCGGGGGAGGCAGCGCAGCAGCAGTCCAGTCCACGAGCTCCTGCAAGTGCGCCCACACGTCCTCCTGCGGAAAGCGCTCCCTCACCCGCTCTGCCACGCCCGCCACACTACCGCCCGCCTCCTGCGCAACACGAGGGGGTTGGTAGTGCGGAAAGACGAAGGGGGGAACGTGGAGCGGGGGCGAGGAGGGAGTGGAAGTTGACGTGAGCGGGCACCCAGTTGGGAAGACAGCAAGTGTCTGTTGCAGTCAGTCAGAGGGCTGCTGTAAAAGAGTAAGCAGGAAGGATGCAGTTGGAAGCGGACAGGGGGCAGGAGGTAGGGGGAATTGGGCAGGGGGAAGGAAGGGGGTAAGGGAGGCAGGTGGACGGTGGAAGGTGGAGGAGGCAGGTTACAGCAACTGAGTGACAGCAAGCGACATATGGTGAACAGCTAACAACCAAGCAAAGCGTGACATCCCATCCACCCCACCTGCTGCATCGCCCTAATAGAAGCCTGCCTGTGCCTGATTTCCCGATTCAGCACCTCCTCTTTCTGCTCCTCCTCCGCCTTCCTCGCCTCCTCCCCCTCCCCTTCTCTATCCTCCTCCGTACGCCCATCTGCTGCTGCGCCGCCTTCACTATCCTCTTCTCGCTCCGTCCACACGCTCTCCCCGAATTCCTCCACTGCAGCAGCTACCGCCTCTCTCGCGGCTGTTAAGGCTGCTCCGGCTGCCGCTGCTGCTTTCCTGGTGGTTCGGGTTGGGGTTCCGGTGTCACCTGGTGGGGGCTTCGGGAGGGACGACAGGAAGGACTGGGAGGGGGAGGAGGGCGGAAAGAGGGGTGCATTGCAGAGAGCGCGCGTGGAAAAGAGGGGGGCAGAGGGGGGGTGGAGTGGAGTGGAGTGGAGTGGAAGTAGGAAATGGTAAGAAAGGAGTGTAACGGGGTTACAGTGATGCGGTGCAATGCCAAGGTATAAACTGTCACAAGTGAAAGAGCGGGAACATCAAGGGAGAAAGGGAGTGGGATGGGGAGGGGAGTGAAGGAGGGGGGGGGGGGGGGGGGGGGTGAGGGGGTGTAGGAGATGTTGTAGAAAGCGAGGAAAACATTGCCAGAGGATAAATAAGGATTAGAACTGTTCACGCATCCCATCCCAAAAAAAATTATCCCATCTTACCGCAGTGCAGCACTCGACCACTATCCGCACCCATCTCGGAACCCCTTCCTCCTCGCCCTCCGCTCCCCGACCATTCGTCTTCCCCCTCCGCATCTCCGCGAGGTCCCTCTTCCGCGCGAGCACGCGGATGGATGAGAGCAGCCCGGGGGGAAGCTCGCGGTCTTCAAGCGCAGCGCGCAGCCTTTGAAGGACGTCCCGCAGCACCAGCGCGCTATCGCTCCGCAGGCGGCGGGGGAGGTAATCTGGGAAGCGGGGAGCGGGGAGCGGGGAGCGGGTCGGGGGGAGGCGGGAGCGGGACGTGGACCGATTACGGTAGGGTGGGCTAAGGAAACGAAAGGCAGACCGCAGGAGGACGATGAGAGGAGCATAAACGTGCGCACCTCGAACACGAACGCGCGCATTAGAACATGAACGCGCGCACTAGAGCATGAACGCGCGCATTAGAACATGAACGCGCGCAATAGAGCATGAACGCGCGCACTAGAGCGTTAACGCGCGCACTAGAACATGACTATTGCGCCTGTTGCTCGACTTCGCTGCCTTGCCTCCTTGCGTTGCCTTGGCTTACTACTTGACTAGCCCTTTCTCTCACTCAAGCCGCCTATTAACGACGACGCGGAACCGTAGCGGAAACAGAAGCGGGGGGTCAGCGCGCGGCAACAGAATTGCATTGCCGCATCGTTGCCAGTCATATCGACACGCAACAACAGATACTGTCGCTGTCGCGTCGATAAGCGAACGAGCCCCTCTTAGCCAGGCCAAGCACATCCCGCTCCTCCCGTCCTCGCGAACCCCTCTATTGTTAAGCTACCTTGTAGGGGTGGAGCATGTGCGACTGTGCAAGCGCATCAAAACTCTTCAAGAAGGACTGTACCAGTAAATGAAGTATAACTACCTCGGAAGAGCCAGGGCGATATGCCGCGTTCCCCGCTAAAGAACTCCACCACCCATTCAGCTGCTAGGCCCCTCGCCGCCTGACGGTGTTGCTGCTGCTGCGGTGGCGGCGGCGAGCACGCGAAACGCGCGCTCGACGCAGCCACGGGTGTCGTAGGCATGGCTGCGCGGCGCTCGACGACACACTCAGATGCGGGGATGTACTGAGCGGTAGTTGAGGCAGATAAAAAATACAAGAAAACGTCAAAATATCTTTTTCATGGCAAGATGCAGGCGGAAGTTGGTAAAGAAATTCGTGATGGAGCTGATGTATGGAGCGCGAAACGATGGCTGCTGTTCGCGTGGGACTGAGTGCGATAGGTCCTTGGCATCTGCGATTAGCTTGTTAGGTTCCTGCCAACAATTTTCATCCTCGCTTCTCAAACTTATGCTCTGGATTTTGCGACTGCTTGCCCTGTTGCTGACGCCCGAAGTTGCGAGGTCTGGGGTCTGTGTAGGCTGGGCAGCCTGAACTAGGTCTCGGTTCGGAAATGAGGTAGTCTCGAGACGAGATGACTGAAGAGCTATGCACGGATTTAGGTCCGGCTTCAGATATTTGGCGCGGGGCGTCCCTCTTACGCTCCCGCGCTTTTATCAAGGCCCAGGTGAGCTCCGGGCGTGCCGCTGAAGCAGGAGTTACTGTAGCGAGTGACTATTCCTTTCCCAAATGTGACTGTCCGCGTGTTGCATTTTTGCAGCAGGCAGTCCTAGTTCGAATTTCCAACGCGTTGAACCGTACAACAACGTGTGGAACATCTCTCGAAGCTCAAACTTTGGCGAATGTTCGCCACTGACAGGTTGCTTGCAGATTCTTCAATCTTCCTTTGCAGGCGAGTAGATTTGACTGGTACCTGCTGGCATAGGGTCTGCCACGTCACCGCGTTGAAGCGTCGCACGCGGGCGAAACCATCGTCGCGCTTCCCGTCCACGGGTGCGAAGAAGAACGCCAATCCTCGAGATGCTTCTCTGCTCGCCTCTCTCTCGACTCCACCGGCCGGCTTCCTGTCTCGGGGATCTTCGAGCGTTTGCGCCTATTGCCGGGCACCAGCGGCACCAGTCGTCTCCCTGGCTGGAACCACCTCCCAGTGCTTGCGATTCGCGCTTGCTCGCGTCGGATTTCGTGCAAAGGCCATTGGTCGCGAACAGAGGGTCCTTCCCAGTTCGTCGGAGCCCGCATCCTGCTGCAGTGAAGGCGCCCGCAAGGGGAGTAGCGAGGGCGTTCTTTTCTCGTAGCAAGGCAGGCAATATGGCGGATGGAGCCGGCTCTGCGACAAGCCAGTCCAAGGTGAGCCGACACATGCGCATCATCTCTCGAGATTCTGTAGGTGATAGAAACGCAGGTGTCGAAATTCTCATCATCCGCATTAGATGGCACAGCCGCCCGCCATTGTTCATGAAACATGTGCTTCCGGAATACCTAGGTTTTCTATCAACGCTCATTCACATTTGAATGAAGCATGCTTGTTCCCTCATATTGGCCCTTTTTTCCAGCCACTGCTGGTGGTGACTTGAGCTGGCAAGAGTCTGGTTGGGCAGTGGTGGTGAGGGTGACTCGGACGGGTGCAGGCTGGCACCTTAAATCCTGTGGCCCCATTGAATATTTCCCCATACATCTCTCCTGTCGTCACCGCAGGTGGTGGTGGTGACGGGGGCCACCAAGGGGCTGGGGCGCGCGTTGGTGGTGGAGCTGGCAAAGCGCGGCCACAGGGTGGCGGGGTGTGGCAGGGATGTGAAGCAGGTGGAAGTGGTGCAGCGATTGCTGGATAACACTCGCCCGCCTGCTGCTGCTGCTGCTTCTCCTGCCCAGCATATTATGGTTGCGGTCGACGTTGTGAGTGTTGTGCTGGCCTTTGGCTCAACTAAGTGGTGCATTAGGAGTGGCATGTTTCTTCGAGCTGAGAAACGTTGAAGTTTTGCCACGAACTGGCTGGGCCCGACGTTTGATTAATTGCAAGAAGCGATGGTTTTCGTGTCCTCGTGTGCGTGCAGGCATCAGATGGTCAAGTCAAGGCATTTGCTGAAAATGTCATCTCAACTATGGGAGTGCCTGATATAGTAGGTCAGCGTCCCTCAACCCGTCTTTCCCTATCTCCTTGCCCTTTCGCCTCTAAGTACCTCTTGTTTCAAACTCTCGGGTGAATGCACCCACCTCCTGTCCTCCCTTCTCCCTTATTTCCTCCGCATGTCCACATCACTCACTCGCGTGTTTCGATGTGTGCTGCACTGCAGTGAACTGTGCAGGGCTGATCAACGCGAACAAGAGGTTGTGGGAGGTGCCATGTGAGGAGGTGGATCGGGTGTTGGACGTGAACATCAAGGGCACTGTCAACGTCATCCGTCACTTCGCCCCCTCCATAGTGGACCGCCGCCAGGGGGTCTTTGTCAACTTCTCCTCTGGATGGGGTCGCTCCGTTGCTGCGGAGGTGAGCTGATGTGCCTGTTGAGGAGCAATGGAAATTAATTATTCTGCTGTTTGTCAAGATCACTGTTGCATCACCAAGTTCACTTATGCCAGTGACCATGTTTGCTGGCTTGATAGCTCCCCTGCCAAGGCTCCTGGACTTTACTTTCCTTGCCAAGAAGGTCCCCATTGTTCCTCGTCATGGGCGAGACACTGCGCTTATGTTGTTGGCTTGAGAGTGCTGCTGGGTCCTGTCCTCAGCACTGTGTCTCCCCTCCTCCCTACATCAGGTGGGTCCCTACTGCGCATCCAAGTGGGCGGTAGAAGGTCTGAGCAAGTCGTTGGCGCTGGAGCTGCCTGCTGGCTGTGTGTCTGTGGCTCTCAATCCCGGAGTCATCAACACCGCCATGCTGCACTCCTGTTTCGGTTCCGCTGCTTCCATGTACCAAACGCCTGAGGAATGGTGAGTAGGAGAGACGTGCTCAATTTTGTGATGTGCGTGGGCTGAGAAAATTGTATGCTGTACATTCTGGAAGTAATGGCCATTTAGATGCTGGCTGTGTGGATACGGCGTGAATGATGTTCAGTTCATGTTTTTACTAATTGCTTCTTGTTGTCCACCTGCAGGGCCCCCCGGTGTGCTTCTCTCATACTTGGCTTGAAGCCATCGGACAATGGTGCATCCTTGACGGTTTGATTGGACTCACAACAAACCATGCGATTTTACGGATGTGCATAACACATTACTGTATATTGACGCACTTCTGCTGATTAGCGTGGCCGCACACTGGTTGTGCCACAACAATGACGACAATGGGAAAGCTGGATGTTTTGCCAACATGTACCTATGTTGTTAAATAGGTTTGAGCCTTTGGTATATTATAGTTGGAATGTGGCAATGGAGTGTTCACACTCTGCTAACATTTTTGGGTTGCGAAGCAACCTATTACAATCGTTATGTTCAATTTTTTTTTTCATCCTCTATACTAAAAAAAAAAAATATGGTGAACGTTACAAACGATTGCCACTACCGTATGCCATAACAGCTTACCAAGAATGGTACTAAAGTTCTTTCACGTTTTCCAAGTTCTTCGTATGGATGAATAGCTGTTATTGTAAAAATGTGGCAGTTTATTCCATAATGATAATGCATACGTAGAATGATTATGTCATGCATAAATGAGGTTTGAATGGATGCATAACAATGGTTTTATGAGTCAAATGTTTAATGATAATGCATAAATATGATGCATATGCTGATGTAGTATGTGTGGTATATACTTATATATACTATATGTGAATACTTATATAACATAATGAAAATGCGTGATAGTTAATTGATCCATACACTAGGCTGCCGCATCCCCTGCCTAGCATGGGGGGGAAGTCAATAGCCTAACGTTTGAATCATCCAACTGTCACATGAAATAACACAATTTGTGTGATATAAAAAAAAGGTCAATTCCATCAAATCCAGTTCAAATGAACACACTCACTGAGTGGGCAAAGAACCTTCTCGGAAATGATGGTTTGATCCTAATTTTTAAAACTCACAGACATATGTTATTAATGCAATGATAAATGAATGCCAAACACACACACAAACACACACCGACACACTCATGCAGTCAAATGCATGTACATTGACAAGCCCGGACAAAAACACACCCTACTCAATAAAAGCTGCAAAAACAATTAGCAAGATAAGTATGATGAATCCTAGAAGTAACCGCTACAATATCTCCAGATTCAAGTCAACGCCCCGAAAGGAATAACAAATGTCCTGAGAACATGGGAAGAAGTTGGGGTAAAAGAAAAATTGATGGGAGAAAAAAGAATGGAGGGTATAAGACCGGTAAATATAGAACCAAAGATAGAGATGTAATTATGAAATACAGATGAAAAAACGGCACGAAAGTAAAGACGGAACCAAAACGGAAGGAAAGATAACGTGCAAGGCGAAGACGATGTACGAGAAGCGAGAAATAAAAAAGAAGCGCAGGAGAATAAATCAAGAGGGGGAACATAAGATTATAAAGTACAAAACGGGAAATGAGAAGGAGAGGAAGGAAGAAAGGAAGGAAACGGGCCGTACTTAAAAAAACTAAGATGTGCTGAAAGGATACAGTGAAGAAACGATGAAGGAAGGAAGAACATGAACTAATGAAAACTTTTGAGAACTTACTGGTTTAGATTGGTAGAAGGAACCTGAACAAGACGGCTCCTAGTATTCTCTCGAAGTCTACAATGACAAGAGGAAACAATTAAGAACAGAAATGAGAGCCAAAGAACATACTGTATATGCAATTTAAAAATGAAAGGAAAAGAGTTCTTGATGGCATGAAAGAAAAAAAAAATAAAAAAAAATGTCAGAAAGACACTAGACAATATCGGAACAAGATGACAACGAAGGGTACAATCAAACGGGTAAAAGGAGAGGAATGACATAGGAACGCAACAAAAAAAGGACGAAACGACTAGACAATGTCTAAAGGGCACTTAAGAGCCAAAAGTGAATTGAAAGGAAAGATGAAAGGAAGTAAGATGGGAAGAAGAGAGAAAAAGAATTGCGGAGAGAAAGGAGAAAATGAAACAGGTAGGTAAGAGACACGAAAGAATACAATAAAAGACCGGATAACGCTGAAATTGAACAAAACTTCAAAGAAAAAATGACGGTAAAGAGAAGGGAACGACAAGGAAGGTACCAACGAAGTGAAAAAAACATGTACGGAGAGAAAAAATGAACCACAGCAGAAAGCTAGACGGAAGGAACGGAAAAAGATTAAACTAAAGACAGCTAAAGAGCACTTAAGAATGAAGGCGATATTTAGAAAAAGATGGAAGGAATGTTAAATGAAACGCTGCTGAGAGAACGAGAACACAGTGAGAAAGAGAGATACAAAACTTCATGCATAACGAAGAAACAAAGAATGGGAATGGACAAAGCAACTAACGGACGGAATGAGGCTAGCACAAAAGATACAAGGACGTCTATAGACGCATGGGTTTGTAGTTAAGAAATCGACCCTTTTTCTAGGACGAAATGGTCAGCAAGCCTAAGTCGACATGGATACACAAGATCTAAGCCGGACTAGTTTAGATCTAAGTTAATCTAGGTAAGAATCAAGTCGACCTAACAAACACTAATTGAAAAGGTTGAAGTTGTAAGCTAGGAGCTTACCTAGCGGAAGTCCCGTAGCCCGTTAGCAGAACGAGATGAATTTAGGAGAGGGAGGACTAACTAAGAATAAGAAGCAAATGAAAACTCTAAGCGGCATGTTGAATATTCTGACCTTGGAGTTAGGTGGAGCGTGAGTAGAGTGAGGCAGAAGAACAAGCTCCTCTGGCGAACCCTAGAGCACTTCACGCGCAAAATACATCAACGTATAATTTTAACGCCGCGCACGAAGCAGCGCACGTAGCACAGTTGTTTTGAAGTCGGCCTTGTTTCGAAAGGTCATAGATTCGATTCCAACTGCATCCATATATTAAGTTCCAACCGAAAGGGTGTTCCACTGTTAGTAATTGTTTTGTTTATAAGCCTTGTTGTTTTGTTTAGAAGCCCTATCTGTTTCGAAGAAGATAATAACGAAACCAAATATGTAATTGTACAAACAGCTTCGCAACCCTAAGACGATTACGTCGCCTCTTTTTTTGTTTTGGGTCATCCCACCTGGACATAACAAGATAATTGGCACGGAAGGTTTGAGCGGATCAGCCCGAACAGGTTCCACATAGAATCATGAACCACGTCAGACTTCTCAGAACCAGAACTGCTAAGCTCGGCAACTCTCCGAGTCTACGTGTAGCGCGTCTCGGTTACTGACGTGCCTCTTGATCAGCTTCGTTACGCACTGATCACCATGCGGAATTTGAGCTTCATGCGGCTCGAGAGACCACAGCTGTGCATTTTTTTCCTGGACGGTCTGCAATATATTTTCTTGATCATTCTTGTGAGTATTTAACCGTACCGAAATCACTTGCAACGCGTAGAGCCAAGCGGAAATGACTTGTACCGACCTGCCTCGATCCAGAAAGAAGGCTGTTGATTTGGTTACTCGGTTTTGGAAATTCGACTCTGCTGGGGTTGGCCCCTCTCCGCACTTCCAACCGTCCCCTCATTGCAATCGCAAACCAAGCACGGTGTGCGGGGTTTCTCCTGCGCGCCCCATTCTCCAGCCACTTCTCCGCACCCCCCGTCATTCTTCAGCCCTTCGTTCCCCCCACTTCCCCCCCGCCCACGCGAAATATCAACCCCCAGAATACACACACCGCGTCGCGAGTTGGTCTGCTTCCTCAATCAAGCAATCGAGCAGCGCAAATTTCCCCCACCCCACGGGAGCTCCGCCGCATTTCCAATTTCTCGTTCCACCTGTCCGCCGAGTGCCCCACCACTTCCCTCTTCAATCCCCCCCAAGCATCAAACCCCTCTCCGCGTCATGCAAGCGGTTGCCTTGCGCGAACATATTTGCCTCCGACCATACCCCAGGCCCAAACCAAACATCGCGCCCCTCCTCCCCTTCATTTCCTCAAGCGCCAGTTCCCCTCGCACCAAACCTCTCCCGCATTTCTTTCCCCACAATCTCTTCCTCGCACCCATCCCCCCCCTGCTCCCCCTACCCCTGCCCTAGGCCCAGCAGCAGGAAGTCCCTAATCAACTCTTGCACCTTTCAAACTACCACCTTCAGACGTATAGTTACGCGCTTCGTCCGTTTTTCCTCAGTTCTCAGCCATCTGTGCCGGGGTGCGCACGTCTGTGAACATGTGCAGAGGGCCAATTGCAGCAGCGGAGCTGGACGGAGCGAGGTTTAGGAAGCCATGGTCCAAGTTCGCTCTCGTCCCTGGTCAGCTTTTTCCTTCTGACGTGCCGTATGGCATCCCAGACGAGGCCTTCGCCGACTTTCTTGCGGAAGCGTCGACGAAATCGGTGAGCCTGGTCCCCTAATTCGATCATGTCGTCGCTGGTCGCATCTGTACCCGTATATTCCGTCCCGTGTATGGCCTTGTCGTCGCTTAGCGCATCGTTGTCCCAAGTGCCGCGTATCGCAAGTGCCATATCTGTTCCCTTTTCCTGCGCGTTTCGCCCTTGTCGCTGCAGAGCGAGCACCAAGACAAGGATGGGGAGAAGCTATCAGAACCGAACCTTCCTGGTCTCGTCCCGCTGGCCCCGTGCATTCCCACCGCCGCCAACGGCAAGGCCTCCGACACGCCTTGCCCTCGCGCTGGCGACGAGGACGAAGAAGGCGACGATGACGACGACGACGATGACGACGATGGCGATGATGGCGACGACGACGACGATGGCGACGACCATGACGACGAGGAGGAGGCAGGGGACGACGATGGCGATGGCGACCAGGGGGACGATGGCGGGGATGACGATGCGGACGGGGAGGGGGAGGAAGAGGGCGGGGAGGAAGAAGGAAACGGGCAGGAAGGCGAGGGAGACGAAGAGGATGGTGATGAGGATGTGGAGGAGGAAGGGGACGAGGAGGACGGCGATGGGGACGGGGACGACGGCGACGAGGAGGAGCAAGGGGATGAAGGGGACGACGATGGCGACGAGGGGGATGATGATGACGACGTTGATGCTGGTGACGACGACGATGACGGTGACGGTAACGATGACGATGACGGAGATGATGACGATGACGATGATGACGAGGACGCCCCTGCGCCTAAGAAAGCCAGACATTGACTCTGCGCGCATCTGCCCGCCTCCTTTCCACGTCTATCGCGCATCTCCCCGCGCGGCTCCGCCCACCGCTCTCCTCGTCCCCCGTCTGCCATGATCCTTCCCGTGCGCCGCATAGAACGTACCGCCGGCGCTCACCCTCCACTGATCCTCGCGACGCGAATCGCGATCAGCGACTAACTGGCGCCCACGCACAGGTGCCGCTGGCGGGCTCCTTAGCAAGACGCATGGCCATGGCGCTCGCCGCCAATCACGCTTCCCTCCATCCAGCATGTGCCCATCTGAGGCACCCAGTCACCCTCCTCTCGATCCCCTTTACCTGCCAGTCCCTAAGTCCCTCCTCCCGCTCTCTCCTTCCGCTCTAACCACCCTAATCGCTGTATGGATTGTCAATTTGGAAGTCCGCCCCTTCATGAGCGTAGCAGGCTTGCTCAGAGCAGCCATAGATGCTATGTTTGTTTGACATGATTTGAACATGGCTTGTACTAGGTATAGAATCAAGGTTTCTTGCATCTTTTAGCTTACATCTGACTGAAGCCTCTCCTTTCTTTACAAGACCATATGGAACCTGATCAACGTTCAAAACTTGATGAATATGGAAACTTGATTCACATGGAGCTATGGTAGTTACTAATCCCCTAAACTACCAGCTTATTCACTGCTACTCCTATCACTGGGCCCCATCGGTCAGCCGCCTACAGGTGTTGATGCAGGATCCTTCCGTTCCAAAGCTCATATGTGATAATTGTGGTGGAGTCGCACCTACACCCGCTCCTGACCCAGGGGCGCTGCTACGTGTCCCAGCCTCTGCAATGGTGTTTTCCTGCCAACGCTTAGAACACAGGGCCCTCTGGGAGGACCAAAAGGTGCAAACAGAGGGTGCAGGGGCGGAAGGGAAAGGGGGAAGGGGATGCACGAGTAAGAATCCAGGGCGTTGGGACTGAGAGTGACTGGAGAGGAAAAGCCGTTGAGACGGGCTGTGGAGGAGCAATGCATATGGCGGAGGTGCAGGGACATGGAGTGCCAATGCGGACGGCAGCAGGCACGTACCATCAGCGCCATCGTCGTCATCCAGATACTCGTCATCGTCGTCAAACCCAAAGTTCTGAAATGCAAACCAGGAGATAGAACAACGGTGTGGGAAATGCAAACTAGGAGATAGAACAACGGTGTGGAGGGAAGAACCAATAGGTAGGTGAGGCGGTGCCAGAAAGCTAGGGAAACGAAAACCATGCGGGGTACAGAGCAAGCAGGCAAGTGAGCGAGGTGCTTAAATGTGGGGTGTGGAGAGTTGCCATACTTGAGCGTAGTCATCCTCCCCTATCTCCTCTTCCTCTTCTTCCTCCTCCACCTCCTCGTCGTCCTCCCCCTCCTTCTTCTCCTCGTCTTTGCCTTCCCGGTCCTGCCATCCCACACCTCATTGCACGCTGTTAGCCAGCCAGCACTGTCACGCACTGACATGCACGGCACAGCAGAGCACAGCAATTCTCTTGTCTCTACACCACAATGCACACAGTAACGGGAGGCGTTGAGGGCTCAGCAGGGTCTCACCGCTGCGTTCTTATCGAGCTTCTGCTCCAGTGTTGCCAGCTGGTCCAGCCGGTTCAGGTCTGCACGCATGCAGGGAGAGGAGGTTGAGGAAATGCGGGGACACATGACAGAGAGATGGCAACAATGGCTGGTTTCGGCGTCGTGTCAAGAAGAACGACGTTGGTGTGAGGGAGTGCACGCACATATGTGCATGAATGCATGCGGGAGCGATAAGGAAACGAGAAGGGTTGAGAGAGAGGGAAAACCGAGGAAGAGAGAGGAAGAGAGGGAGAGACAGACCATTGGCGGCTGACCCCTTGTTGACCACCCATGCATTGCCGCTCTTCTTCCTTACTTTCTTCTTGCCCCCTGCGCGTACCACCACACAGCACCAAACACAAGCACAGCACGGCCACAGTTGTTGATGGTGCCAACAGCACAGGCGCATTTGAGCGGGGAAATATGAACCAGAACTCGTCACAGTGGTGTGAAACTGAAAGCGAATGCAGAAAGGCCGTGGTGTGACGGCACAGCCTCCAACGGCTCATTCCGCCATGGCGTGGGAAGGCGCATCGCCCCATCTCTCCACATCACATAACGTCACCCATGCCATCCCATCCCGTCCCAACATCCCAGGGCGCACCAGCAGAGAGGAGTTCAGCGGGGTAGTGAGAGATGGAGAGGTCCATGACGTCAGCGAGAGAGGCACGGGGCGCAGAGGACGAAGAGGCTGCGGCGGTGGAAGAGCTGACGTGGCGCTTCGTGTACGCTGCTATGTCCGCCGCCACTCCCTCTGCACCGCACTTGGCGGGAAGGTGGGCAAGAGAGGGCGAACGGGAAGATAGGAGGGAGGGGGACAGAATGGGCGAGGAGAAAGGTTGAGAAAAACTAGGGGTTGGGGAGGCAGGGGGCATGGGTGGAAGGTGGGGGGAGGGGGAGCGATGGATGGCGGACAAAGATGTGAAGGGGCGCATGTGCTGCACGTGCTCTCCCCTCACTCCTGATCTTGCTGCCCAAGCCACCTACCACACCCTCCCACGCGTCCCGACCCGTCCCACCCACCTTCTCCCTCCCTCATTTCCTTTCCCCTGTCCGTCCCCTCCCCCTCCCCTCGCCCCTCACCTCTCGCCCCTCTCTCCCCTGCCACCCAACCCCCGCGTTCCGCGCGCGCGCCGCTTACTGTCGGGCGGGGGGCGGTCGACGTAGTAGGCGGAGTAGCGCCAGAACGACGCCATGCGCCGCCGCCGCTGCAGCATCGCCTCGTCCTTGGGAGTTATTTCGGGCAGCTCGGGCAGCATTTCCACGGGCTGGCGGACACAGGAAACACGGGGAGGGCAGGAGTAAGTGGGAGGTAGCAGGGGAAGGGGTGGGGAGCGGGTGAGAAGAGATAAGGGCTAGTGACGGGGAACGCGCGACGGCGGAGGGAGCGTTTGCGGGAGAGGAGAGACCATCCGCAACCAGACCGCGGCTGCGGCTAACGACGAGCTCACAAACGCGTCCGCACATGGACTGCTGAAAAACCTCTACGCACCGGAAACAATGGCGGGGGCCCTTCGTCGCGACCCGCAAACACAATCGACCCCTCATCGTCCCGCGCCACTGCGCCGGCCCCGCCGCCCCTCCCTCCGAACCCCCCGCGGCCTCCGCGTCCCCCTCGCCCCCCGCGCCACGCCATGTTCCCAAACTACTGGGACCGCGCGCCCTCGGGGAGGCGAAACGTTAAAGCCCGCTCATGTGGATAGGGACCACTGGCACACAATCCCGCTAGCCGCACACCTCGCTTGCCAGCGAGCGCGTTAGTAGTTGATTTCCGTCCTAATCTGCCAGCTGCAGATCTACAACGCGATATATTCTGAGCCGCATGCCCACGACGAGGATCTGTCAGGTTCCTATGGTTTTGCTGGTGGCAACTTGCGACTCGAGGCACTTGCGGGACGTATTTAGGGCTTCGGGTTTACGTAAAATTTGGAGTACTGCTGAGAAAATAGATATAAATTTGTGTAGAAGTTATAGTTCAGACGTTATATCTGTACCGAATGTCTCATATTGAAAAGTCCCAGTATCGAGGACACCGGATGATGTTGCTTCCAATTGAGTGCAGATGAAGTTTCTGTGAAGAGACAAGCCACGTGTCACAAGCTGGTAGGACGTCAGCGTTTTGACGAGATGTGATTCCTTCTCTGGTGATTCTATTTCTTTTTGTGTTCGTCTGTGGTGCGGCAGACCCCTGCGAATCTCGCGTGCCACAGGCCATTTAGTTACCACCAGACTCTCTCCACCAACCAAAATCAACTCGCGGAAGTTACGACTGTCGCAAAAGCTTTGTCGCATGGCGCACGTGTCGCACTTCACCGTTTATTTTCGCAAAGTCAGGTTCATTGGCGGAGGAACCGCACGGCGCGTTGAGCACTGGGGGACGGGATGGGATGGGAGTGCATGTACCATCCGCGGCATTTACCCCAGCGGAACGTGCGAGTAACTCCCGAGTCAGGTGAGAGCCGCAGTTGGTCCCCCAAGCCAAGGCCAGGAGGATTCCATTCCCCTTCACCTCGAGATATAAAAAGCCTCAAAGGTTCTCAGCTAGTCATTTACCACCATTTCAGAATCCCCTTTCACATTTTGAAGTCTTTTTCCAGCACCAACCGAGCCAATGGATGTTATGCGGGTATCCTGCCGGGTGATTTATGGCAACAAAGAAGGCTTCGTGCACATGTGCCTTCCTATTTACATCGACGCTCTGGGAGCTTGTCACGCCGTCAACGAGGACAACCAGCTGCACGGCTCCATCGAAGAAGCCATTATCAGAAGCATTTGCGACGGCGCGCACAGCACGGATGCGGCGACAGCAGCGGCGCTGAAGAGAATATGGAACGGGTGGTGGAGAGGGCGCTGCAAGTGGAGGACATTGTCGAGGAAATCGTGGAGGATGCCGACAGACGTCGTGGCGTTCGCTCATTCATGATGCGTCTACGGAGTTCCCACATGGATGAGAAAGGTCAGATATAGTTCTGCTTCATTTTCTATTTATTGCTCATTTTTTTACCTTCTGTTTCTTTCTACATGAAACGATTTGAAATGCAGTTTTCGGGGGGTTGACATACATTCTTTATGTTTGTTAAATACTAAAAGTTGTGTTTTTTTTTTTTTTTGCTTGCAGATGCCTTGCGTCGCGCTATCCTTGCCAATCGTGAGTTCCGCCGCCGTGCTGCTGCTCTTCAGGTCTGTCCTCATTTGCCAATTTTTTTCATTCTTTCCTTGCAACGTGCATTTCACAAGTTCGCCTCCACCCCGAGTATTAACATCCTTCGTTCTTTCCGTGCTGTGCCTCTGCAGACTGCAGTTATGCCCGGGGTCTTCCTCCTTCCGCCTCCACCCATGACTCTGCTACTTCCGTCTAACACTCAATTCGAAAGCAGCCGCATATCCACCTCTCAGCTAACTCAATGGTATGGCAGAACGCACGTTGTAGTGAAGTGAGTTTCCATGGTAGGTTGCATTGTCATGGTATGCGGTTGTAATCGCGGTTGTGTATAGAACGTGCCCTTCTCCTGGTAGAAACTTCTTTGTATCTCTGGATGGCTATTTATGGAGGCCAGCAATACCGTATCCTCAAACTTGGCTGCTCAAAGGTGTCTAGCTAGACTTGGCCTATGGTTGAATTGGGGTGGTACGTTGAATATAATAGAATAAATGTTTGATTACGCTATGTTTGATAACACTTCAGTGCTGTTACCTTGTTGAGCATTTGGGCAATGAGGCGGTTGTCACCTCCTCTCTTCTGTACATAGAGCTGGAAATATACAAAGCCAGAAAAAGATCAGGCAACTCCGTTGGCCCGTTGTGCTGCTGCTCTTTAGGTCTGTCCTAATTGTCTTATTCTCACTTGAAACGTGCATTTGGATTGTCCGGATATAAGACAGTGTTGAATAGTAGACAGGGGTTGTCTATTATACGGGTGTCTCTTATAAACAGGCTAGCCTCATTATAAGACACCTATTTGTGTGTACGGGTTAAGAAAGTGTAGGAGTTAGGGGCAAATGTATAGCGAGGGGGTATCTTCTAAACGGTTCTTTGTCCATTTATAAGACTTATAAGACACCCTAAACCATCCCGTTTACAAGATAACTCAAGCATTTTTGCCCGTGTACGAGATAAGACATATATGTCTTATATCCGGGCGATGACGGTAACATCATGCCCGGGGTCTTCCTCCTTCCGCCTCCACCCATGACTCCGCTACTTTCATTCCATCTAACACTCTTGTCTGAAGCTGCCACATAATGATCACCTCTACTCCTTCGGATGCCAGAAACACACGTAGTAGCAACATACGGTATGGAACTGATGCTGCAGATTATGATCATGGTTGTTATGTATAGGTCCCTTCGCTTCGCTGTACCTATCCCTGATTGGCTAAGGTTGATCGGAATGTAAGCCAGAGAGTGGGGCCAGCATGCAGGGAGACCGTGTCAATAGGGCAATAGGGCAATAGCGCAGAGGCAGGCATGTGAGAGCAGGTGGAAGAGCAGGTGGGTGGAGAGAGGCAGGGTGGGGGGGTGGGGGAGGAGACGAGCGAGGTGTTGCAGGGCTTGCCTGTGTGTGTGTTGGGGGACGGATGGGAGGGGAGGGGAGAAAGCGACAAAGAGTAATGGAGGCGTGTTTGGGAGTAAGGAAGAACATTTAGCGAAGAAGTGCTGGGGCATGGAGACTGCTGGGCCGGCCTCTTTCAATCAAAACAAAGAATGGATGCATGATCACAAAACTAGTCAGAAGCACATTGGAGCTTCAAAAACATAGCTGTCACAACCACCACTGAACGGAAAAGCTTCTTGCCAGTCGAGCAGAGCAAGGAGACATCCCCATAGGCCATGCCCCACTGCTGCAGGGCTTGCCTGTGTGTGTGTTGGGGGGAGAGCGGGGGGGCGGGAGAGGAAAGCGACAGAGAGAAGTGAAGGTGTTACTAGGAGTTACAAAGAGCATGGAGGGAAGTGGTGGGGCACGGGGGCTGATGTGCTAGGTTCTTCAAAACTAAACATAGAATGGACGCAGGAGAATCTGCAGCTCCAGGCGCAGGAGAATCTGCAGCAGAATCTGCAAATCTGCAACGCCTGTGCATGCGGACAGAATAAAATGGGAACCGTTGCTACGAGGGGGGCAGCAGCGTCAGCAGGGGCGGCACGTGCAGCCGTGGCATGGTTGGACTGAAGGTTGGCAGGGCGCTGCACCTGATGGGGGGAGGGAGTAGGGGGGTAGTTAGAAAGGAGACGAGAGAGACATGCGAGAGTGAGACACAGAGGGTTGGGGACGGAAGGTCAATGCTGAATAGCACACACCGGTGGGTTAGGAGAGAGTGCGAGAGGGGAGTGGGAGGTAGACGGATGGAAGACAACCATGGTGGCAGATGGGGGACGGTGGGTGGCAGGCAGTGGGTGGGGGATGCGAGTGAAGGCAATGGTGAAACGGGGAGCAAGGAATGTGCGGGCGTGCATGCAAGAGGAGGTGAGGAGTTTTCAGAAATCCACACGAGAAAGGACATGAAAAGGCATACGCATGTGAAACGGACAGATGCGCATCACATGCCAAGGCACAGTATGGACATCCCCCATTCCCAATCCCATCCCACCCCATCCTTCCATCCCATCCCATCCCATCCCATCCCATCCCATCCCATCCCATCCCATCCCATCCCATCCCATCCCATCCCATCCCATGCCATCCCATCCCATCCCATCCCATCCCATCCCATCCCATCCCATCCCATCCCATCCCATCCCATCCCATCCCATGCCATCCATCCCATCCCATCCCATCCCATCCCATCCCATCCCATCCCATCCCATCCCATCCCATCCCATCCCATCCCATCCCATCCCATCCCATCCCATCCCATCCCATCCCATCCCATGCCATGCCATGCCATCCCATCCCATCCCATCCCATCCCATCCCATCCCATCCCATCCCATCCCATCCCATCCCATCCCATCCCATCCCATCCCATCCCATCCCATCCCATCCCATCCCATCCCATCCCATCCCATCCCATCCCATCCCATCCCATCCCATCCCATGCCATGCCATGCCATCCCATCCCATCCCATCCCATCCCATCCCATCCCATCCCATCCCATCCCATCCCATCCCATCCCATCCCATCCCATCCCATCCCATCCCATCCCATCCTATCCCATCCCATCCCGTCCCCCCCCCTCCCATTCCCGACATACGGTGAGAGCACGTGCAGGCAGGGCGGGCAGTGCTGCAGGAGGTGGTGCAGGCGCTGCGTTGCCAGCTGCGACAGTGGCAGTGCGTGGCTGGACCCACACGCGCTCATCTCCAGCACCCATGCTGCCAGCGGGAGGAGGCCAAGGGGGGGGAAGAGGGGGAAGGGGGGGAAGGGGGGATAAAGGGAAGGGTGGAGAGAGGGAAGGGGGGGAGCAGGGGGGAGGGAGGTTTAAGGTGTTTCAGAAACAGTGGCAGTGCGTGGCTGGAACGACACGCGCTCATCTCCAGCAGCAGCGACGCTGGCGGAGGGAGCGGGAGAGGAGGGAGGAGGAGGAAGAAGGAAAGTGAGAACATGGGGGACGAGACAGGAGGAGGATAAGAAGAGGGGGAATGATAAGAACGAGGGGAGGGGGTTGAGACGATTGGGGATGCGGAAAGCATGGGAGCAGAGCAGCAATGGTGAACACATGGGATACAGCACCGTTCAAGTGCTGCACCGCACATAAAAGGAGGTCATCACCTGTACTCCCCGCTCACATCACCTCCTGTCCCGCACTCCCACACTCCCCCTCTCCCGCACTCCCACTTTCCCGCACTCCCACACTCCCCCTCTCCCGCACTCCCACCTTCCCGCACTCCACACTCCCGCACTCCCCACTCCCGCACTCCCCGCACGCAAACTCCCACACTCTCCCCCTCGTGCCTCGGAGGGGCATCAGTACCTGCGGAGCGCACGAGCAGCAGGGAGTGCGGCGAGAGGCGGCAGGGGCGGCCGAAGCAGTAGCAGGCGATGGGGACCAAGGAGAGCGCGCCTCCAGGGAGGAACGAGAGGCTCGCTCTCGTGCGACAGCAGCGACGCCCTCGCGTCGCCGCAGCGGTCGTCGCTCATCGCGCGCGTCGTCGGAGGGAGCAGACGCGGGGGAGGCGCGCGGAAAGAATCGGCGCGGACGAATCGGCGGAAGAATCGGCGCGGAGTAAACGGCGCGGAACGGCGCGAAGGGAACAGCGGCGAGGCACGCGGGAGGGCGAGGATGCGGCTGCTCTCTGCTGCTGCCTGCTGCTCTCTCTTGCTCTCTCCTGCAGACTGCTGCTGTGTACCGCTAACGCGCAGCGGAGATTTAGAAAACTAAGGCCGCTGGAACAACCACCGTTGGAACCGAGCTTGTCAGGAGGATGACCGTTGGATGCCAAGAAAGATTAAGATGGAGATCGACGCTCAGACAAAGCGGACGCTTACACTCGAAGCGGACGCTACGCTTACACTGCGGCACTTCCGATTCCCCTCTCTCTACACTATACCGCGACGTCGATAGAATAGTCCTCCGTTAAAAACGCTGGCCGCGCTGCGTGGAATGGAGGAATGGCTCAGGTTGTACCGATCGGGGTCGCAGATGCGGATTCTTTCGCCTGTAACGCGCAGATGCTGCTTCCGCGGAGCAGCAGGCAATGGCTGGTCGTACCACCCGACCGGCCCGAACTCGCCATGGCATCGCTGCGCTCTGCGGTGCGAATGAACAGCAGTATCGATATTTCCGACGCTTCGGCTTCGGACGCGACGCGACGCGACGCGAGCCGAGCTCACCTCCGCTTTCACTCACGTTCTCGCCTTGGAATGGAAATGGGATGAGGATTTCTGCTCTAAGAGATGCGATGCGACGGACATGAATCGCACCAACTGCAAGGCTGTTGGGATGAATTCTAGTCTGCCTGATTGTTCACCAGTTGAACCAGATCGGTAAAAGCGGAGGGAGAGTTTCGAAAGAATGTATTGCACTTCAATGCGGTGACATGCGATTTCGCGCCTTTCTGCTTCATTCTTTGCTAAAAATTTACGGAGGTTTTACAGCAATACCACATGATGTCTCTCATTTGTGACTTTGGACAGAGAACACGGGCCATATATGTTTGACTGCATAGGTTTTCTTATAATAACTAAACAGACATTTCTCAGACTGGATATCTACGCCCTATCCGGAGTAGTATTGCTACAACTGTACATTCTTATAAAAATGAAATAATATTCAAAGGTACACTCAACCACTAATTCTGTCTGATACTTTCAACCACAGGTCTACAGCTACTCCATGGCAGCTGCCATCCATGCCCACCCCGGCATGGACTGGCAGTGCACTGCACAGGCAGAGAGGAAGGCTGAGCCTTGAGCATTGCCAGGACCAAGACGTGCGGGTGCCCTACTAGGGACTGGCTCTGCTCACCCCCACCTCCACCAAATGACATCACTGCTGGCCAGACAGCTTTGTCACTTGGTGGGGGCGGGAGGGGACAGAACCAGTCCGGTTTGGCCCGGAATCGAGTCCCCAGCCAATGCTCAAGGCTTCACCATCTCTAGTGCACTGGCAACATGGCTTGCAGGCTTGCCAACCGTGAAGGCACCTGCAGGCAGAAGAAACATAAAATTAGTCCTTGATCAATAAGAAAATGCAAAAATACAGCATGCACCAAAGCAATTTAGCAAACAAAAAAAAAGCCATGTGCATGAAAAAGAGAGTTTGAAGGTAGGGGCTGAAACTTATCTGTGGGTTAGGAGCTTGGAGCGTGGAGCGATGCTTGAGCGTTAAGACGCTTCAGCAGGCCATGGCTTGCCAACCACTGGGATTTGCCGCCCATGAAGGCACCTGCAGGCAGAAAACCGACAAACATTAGTCCATGACAAAAAAGAGAAGGCAAAAAAACAGAATGCATCAAAGCGAATCAATAAACACAATAAAGCCATGTGCATGAGAAAAGGAGCTCACAGGTAGGGGATGAAACTTATCTGAGGTTAAGGAGCGTGGAGTGTGGAGCGGTTCTTGAGCGTCGAGGCGCTTCAGCATGCCATGGTGCTCCCATGGATCTTGGGCGTGCTGGAGTGCAGTGGTGCGCAAGGTCTTGGGGGTCCATGGCGTGTACATGGCGCTTGGAGAACCTGCCATGAGGCAAAATACAACAAGTAAGTGACTGTAGAGTTGAAGCACACCCTAAAAAAAAAAAGAATCAGCAAGCATGGATTTACCAGTGGAGTAGCAATTGAGCGAGAAAGCAAGGAAAAAGGCTCAAGTTGGAATCTTATCTTGCCAAGCTTGAGAGTTGAAGGCCATGGTACTCCCATGGATCCTGATTCTTGTTCTTGTTGAAATCCCTTTGTGCAGCAAACCTGCCAAGTGCAATAGGAAATTTGAGTTAGTAAATCAAGTCAATGAAGGCAAAGGAACGAACATGCAGTAAATGGCTAAAACGAAGGGATAAAAACAACTTACTGCTGGTGGACAGAGAGGAGGCACCTGCCAGGTGCTGTTGGCAGGTACGTTCACCCCGCCTTAAGCTAGCCGTGAGGTGCTCCTCTAACACCATCTAGAGCGTGGCTAGAATAGAACCTGCAAGGATATCAGAGGAACTGGGTTAGTAACGAGCAGTAAACCAAGCATGCAAAAAATAGACGGTGCTGCAATGGTGCAAGTGCCACAGAGCCTACCTGTACCAACCAAAAAAACCATAGGGGGACCTTTACCAACACCTTTACCAACCTCTACCTGAACCAAACCTGAACCTGAACCAAGGGGGGGGCTCTGTGGCGTGAAGAACGTGTGGTTGATACGTTAAACCTTCACCGGGTGTGGAGATGCTCCACTGTTGTCCGCCATAAAGCATGGCAGGACGCCAAGAGACGTTGCTGAAACGCAGATCACCATCAAATAAATCCTGCAAGTAAAAATAAAGGAGAATTAGTAAAGGTTTGACAGAAAAGCATGCAAAACGAAAAAAAAGCTTGGAAAAAACGAGCCAAATACCAACCAAAAAACCTTTGGGGGGACCTTTACCAAACCTGAACCTGTACCTAACCTGTACCGGGGGGTGGCTCTGGTGTTAAGGGTTGAAGAAATACTTTCAACCTTCACCTTCACCACCCGTGGAGCTTCTCCTCCGTTGCCCGCCATGAAGCATGAAGCATGGATGTTGCTCCTCTTTAATCTTCAAAAGTACGCCTCGCATCCTCCATTAAAACCTGCGAGTGTAGAAAGAACATATAGTTAGTATACGGAAGTGAAGAAAGCATGCAACGGAAATAACGACTTTGCGAAGTGAAGAAAAATGTGCTGACCCACCACAGAGCCAATACCAACCTGTACCGAAAAAAAAAAAAAACCTTTACCACACCTGTACCGAACCTTTACCAAACCTTAACCGGGGGGAGGAGGCTCTGTGGTGAGTGGTGGTGAAAGGTGATACATTCGACCTTCACCGTCACAGGAGATCGATGTCGCTTTAGGCGCGTCGTAGCCAGCGACGCGACGAGGTTGATGATGAGATGGGGATCCACGACGATCCGATGCTTACCATGGCGTCCTGCGCATAATAGAACAACGAGCACCATTGTCAGAATCGGAGTCGAAATAAACTGAAGGTCGCGTACACTGACGGAATCAGGTCGCTGATACAAGAATGTGATAAGGATGGTCGTTGTACCTGACGTAAAAACGACGACAAACGTCGCTACGTTGCAGAAACCCCGACGGTCCGCGAGCCGAGCATACGTTCCAGGGCAGTCTGAATGGTGTCGACGTGAGAACACGGTGATGATTCGAACTGGTAGAGCGATAGGAAGCCAAGCTCACTAGCAAAATGCCTAGGAGGCTGCAGCAATAAACTGAGATTCCAAGAAGAGGAGTCGGAATATGACGCGAGCCTGAAGATGCGTAGAATGTCTGACTACGGACCGTTGGAATGAACCACTCGGTGAAAACAATGAACGGTTGAAAATCCGCCTTGCTGGCCTCTACGGTGGTCCCAAACGAGCCACCGTGGCGAATGGTGGATGGATCAGAAAAAATCGCCGACAAAAAGATGAACCCAGCTCCGATTGGACCGCCAAATGTACCCTAGCGTCTAATAGGATCGCCAAATCGACCCTAGCGTCTAACTGGACCGCCTGATGTGCAACAAAAAATCTATGTCCTCACTTTGGGACACGTATGCTGTTTCAACGGCCCGGAAAAAAACACGGTTGGATGGAAACACTTCAGAAAACTAGTGACGTGTACTGTAATACATCCGCTCATTCAACCGCCGCGATCCGTTTCCCGAAGCGTGCTGCAAAATTGAGCCGCTATAATGGCTGGTATGCGGCTGGCAGAAGGGATGGGAGGGAACTGAAGATCTGTTTGGGTCTGACACAAGCAGCGATAGAGAGGAGCGGCGGAGGAGGTGTAAAATCATCATCTGCCAGAAGGAGAAGCTGGGGTCATGGTTTTGCGAAGTGGCGAGCTCACAGGTAACTTGTGCTGTCGGCTGTTCGTCAGTAAACCCCGAAACTGGGTTTCGCCGCCAACTCTTGTTGTGGTTCCCTGTTGGAAGGAGACGTGGTTTGCGAAAGGTGTGGCGACGGGGAAGTGATTCGTCATTCCATAAATGTGCTGATTTGGTGGATGGGGTACATGGAGGATTGTCGGATGTTTGAAGGAAGGTCCCACCGGGTTAACAACGGTTCGGAGATTTTAGCGGGTCTGCAGTGCTCTGCCAAGTCAGTCTCACGTCACTTCCGCGGGAATGTCCTTGGCGGAGCACTGCAAACCCGTTGCTGTGAACCCGTTGCTGCAGACCCGTTGCACTGGAAATTCCACTCACTAGCACCGTAAAGCACCAGACAACACCGTTGCTGCGTGAACAAGAAACAACATTCCTCCAATCCCAAGGAACACTTCCCATTTCCCGACAAAAATCCCCAACTTGTACTGTATCCCTGCGGAAGTTCCGCCTTCCTTGGGAGTGTCTCTGTGCGGGCTGCGCAGAGATGAACAGTATGGCTTCAATATCAGCCGCTGCGGTAAGAAGAGAGATTGTGTATGCTAATATTGTTTGTGTATACTACTTATTGTTCCAGAGCTTGCCGCTTTTCGCACAAACGCAGGATGTTTTGTCCGTGCGACCCCACGGTCGTCGCATATCGCTCGACGATGCCTCTGCTCGTGATGTCATGCCTCGCCATCCACATCACCTTCTCAAATCTCTCATTGCTGCCACCATTGCTGTGCAGCTGCTGCTCTTCTTGCTGCTGATGTGTATTTTTCGGAATGATCACCACGCTTGGCCATCTCCCTTCACGCTAAGCTCAGCTTGTTTAGTTCTAAACTTGTGGAATAGGTCTGGACGTAAAAGTATTCTCTGACGAGAAACCTAATGGCGTCTCAGGAGCATCCGTCGTCAAGTTCTGCACCCCTGTCACCGTTGCCGTTGCCGGCTGCTCAGCTAGCGTCGCCGCTTCCTCCGCCACTCTTTAACGAGCCCTTCATCGTGCCAGCAGCGCGCACCTCGCGCTTCGCGGCGCCCGTGGACCGCGTGGTGGGCGAGGCGGAGCTGCTCCGCCAAATGCGCTCATTGCTCGGCCCCTTCGCGTCCACATCCCGTCTCCTGAACCACCTGCGCGCCGTGCGCGGTAAGGTTCACTGGGCGGTCAACCGATACCTACGCGAAGAGCTCATGACCGGCTCGTCCTGCCCGGATTTCGCTCCTCGGCCCTTACCGCGCGATTCGTACCGATCGGCTTCTTCCGTGGAGAACTCCGCGCGTGGGAGGAGAGCGGATGCAGCAGATTCCGCAAGCGTATCGGGAGATGCGGGGTTTGCGGCTTCGGAAAGGGCTGAAGATCCTGTCACGGGAACTGTAGAGGATGGATTAGAAGGTGCGACGGCGTTAGCGGGCTCGCCGTGCGCGGACCGGTCAACTTGGCCAACCCTAGACCCGCAGATTAGGGCTCGCGCCGAGCTACCAGTTGCCGCCGCGCACGGCGTCGCATCTCCCGACGACGCAGAGTTGTCGAGGCAAGGATTCCCGGGCGCAGAAGCAGCCGTCGCAGAGCGCAGACCGGTGCCTTTAGAGGCGGACAGTAGAGACCTCACATGTTCCGCCGCCGCTCCTCCCCCTTCCGCCAGCGGCGCAAGCAGCCGTGCGCGACCGTGCGCATGCATTCTCTCGTCGCTTTCCGCGTACGGTAACACGGTCGTCGCCGGCACGCCAGATGCAGCGCTCACGGGCTGCGACGAGGTGTCCGCCGCAGGGCGGAAAGCAGGTGCGGCGGAAGAAGAGGACGCGCGGGGAAGGGGATTGGGTGCGCTGACGTCTGCCGCTTCAAGCGTCAAGTCTGTGTCGCAGGTATTGCCTGGATTGTTGTCGCCGGTGTCGCCGGGTATGTTGGCGGAAGGAGGGGTAGCGGTTCTAGAAAGCGCTGATCGGCTGACAGCGGTCGGCGGCAGGCAGCAGGCGGTAGCGCTGATGCCGCAGCTGCAGGAGCAGGCGGACGAAGGGGGCGCGGATGACGCGGAGAAAGAGCGCCAGGGCGCAACAGAGTGGCCTGTGGAAGGGAAGACGGAGGGGCAGGGCGAAGGGGGCGGCGTGGGGACGGCGGAGTGGGAGAGTGTGCCTGAAGGGATCTTGGAGTCGGTGTTTGCACGGCTGGCGTTTGAAGACCTGGCCGCCGTGCTGCTCACGTGCTCCGCGTGGCAGGCAGTGGCGCGCAGTGACTGCCTGTGGAAGCAGCTGTTTCTGCTGCGATGGGGGCACTCTGCCACGCAAGCTGTCCTGCAGCAACGGCGGCAGCAGGAGCAAGAGCAAGAGCAACAGCTGGAGCAAGAGCAAGAGCAACAGCTGGAGCAAGAGCAAGAGCAACAGCTGGAGCAAGAGCAAGAGCAACAGCTGGAGCAAGAGCAAGAGCAACAGCTGGAGCAAGAGCAAGAGCAACAGCTGGAGCAAGAGCAAGAGCAACAGCTGGAGCAAGAGCAAGAGCAACAGCTGGAGCAAGAGCATGAGCAGGTGGAGCAGCGGGAGCAGGAACCGCAGGAACCGGAGCAGGAGCAGGAGCAAGAGCAGAAAGAGAGCAGGAGGGTGACTAGCAGCGAAAGAGCAGTGGAGCAGCAGAGGACGGATGCGCAAGTGCATGAGGGGGTCGATCTAGCACGGGGAGATGACAGCAGCAGTGGAGATACCTCAGGTGAGAGAGGGTGAGAGAGGGCGAGCTAGCAAGGGACAGCACAGGTGGAGAGTTGGCACCAAGTTGCACAGACGTACGAACGCTCAACCAGGGTGGAGTTACAGGTGGGAATGGGCCAGTGACTAGCAGTGGTGAAATGCTGTGCATAGCACAAAATTCACCAACACAATGCAGAGCCATTAGTCGTTCCTACCTTTCTTTGTTTTGACCTTCCCATCCACCTCGCATTCATGCTCTTCGTTCTGATTCTTGTACTCCCCTTCCTTCCCGTTCCTTTCAGCTCGTTTGTCGCATCCAGACCAGCAGCAGCAGCAGCAACCAGTCCCCGCGGCTCCGTTGTCATGGCAGGAGGCATTTCGGCAGCGGTTGGAGAGTGAGAGAGCCGCGCAGTGCCCCCAGTGCCGCAGGTCGCGCTTCGTGCCGATCGTGTACGGTTTTCCATCAGCTCCGCTGGTGGCGGGCATGCGCATGGCGCAGTGTGTGCTGGGAGGGGATCACCTGACAGACTACCCTGGGTACAACCCCCTGTGGGTGTGCGTGGGGTGCACGACTAGGTGGAGGAAGTATCCCTACGCTGCTGACTGCGAAGGCCCCTACTTCCCTCCGTCACTTTCCACCTCATCTGCCTCATCCACAGGCAATGAGATTGACGACTTCGATGTTTGACGAGGAGTGCAGGAAGTGAGCGGTGGGAGGTGGTGTGGGTGTGGGGGCAGGTGGATGGGCTGGAATGTGGGGGTCGTGGGGTGTTGGAGGGGGTTTGCAAGAAAATGAAACGGAAAGAAAGGGCGGTGTGAGGCCCATGTATGGATCTGGTAGGTGGGTTGGTATGGGGCCCATGGTGGGTGTTGTGTGGTGGTCTTGGTGGAAAGATGGTGTGGTCTGGAGGAGGGTCTCAGGTTGTGGTAAAATATGAACACGTCTATTTTTGTTCCTCGTGCACTTAAATGCACTAGGGTAGCATTGCAGCAGATTTCGACTGCGACATACTTGGGAGTGGGCGGAATGAGAGATTAAACCAACGAACTCATATGTTTGATTGGTTGTTGTTGAGAAGTTTTGCAACGTCAAGTCGTAGTGTTACGTCGCACAGCGACTGCAGGCGGTTTCCACCACTTTCCCGCCCAACCACCATGACTGTGGGCTTGCACGTATCCTTACAAGTCACTGGCTTTCTTCTATCTTTCCCCCCTCCCTCGTCTTCCTTTTCTGCTCCGATCTAGCAGTTTCTCCTGAAAAACATTTCAACGCCATGGCTGACACAGCACCCCCACAATCCTCTCAGGATGCACCCGCGCCCACTTCTACCCCTCCAGACTCTGCGCCTGGTGCGCCGGCTGCCGCCGCGGCTGCTCCGCCAGCCGCGCCAGGAGCGCCGCCCGTCGCACCCCCCGCGACAGCCCCCCCAGCTGCGCAGACCACTGGGGCACCGATCGCGCTGTCTGACTTCGATCAGGCGAAGCGCAAGGCGGAAGAGCTCGCGCAGAAGTTCCTCAACGCGGGAGGCGCGAAGCGATCCAAGTTCGACGACGGGCCGCCCGCAGTCGTTGCCGCCGCCGTGGCTCCTCCCGGCGTGAGCGGCGCGAACGGCGGAGGCCCACCGGGTGGTGCGGCGAGCTTCGCGTCCGGTCCTCCCGGATCGCAAGGTCCGCCTGGTAACAACCTTTTTCATCGCCTAAAACTCCATCATTTTCGCAGGCGCATATTCACTCAATCTTTTTAAAATAAATATCAAGAGAAAATCAGTCGCATGATTTGCCCAACGTGCTGATGGAAGGATGTGATGTGCGGCGTGCAGGCTATGGCGCCGGCGCGCAGCAGCAGAGCCAGCCTCCGCCGTACTACCAGCCCCCGCAGCAGGGAGGCGCAGCGCCTTACTACGACCAACAGGCCGCCGCTACGCAGTCGAAGAAGATCGACGTGCCTAACACGCGGGTGAGTTGCTTATGTGCCAGATCTTTTCCTGATTTGATCTTTCGCAAACCAATTGCTTCAAGCAGCTGCCTTAAGGCCATCTTTTTTAAGTTTTTACTTTCGAAGACTAATAAAAAATTCTTCAATTTCATTCTCCGACCGGTCGGTCTCCCGCTTCTTGGCCGCGTGCGCCACTCCCGATGGTACCACCGGCGCGCACATGGCGATGCCGTCGTGCGTGCGGTAACAGGTGGGGTTGATCATCGGCAAGGGCGGCGAGACGATCAAGTACCTGCAGGCGCAGTCGGGCGCCAAGATCCAGGTCACGCGCGACATGGAGGCGGACCCGCGCGCGCCCACGCGCCCCGTCGAGCTCACGGGCACGCCCGAGCAGATCGCGTCGGCGGAGCAGCTCATCAAGCAAGTGCTCGAAGAGGTGCGCGCCTTCGCTGCTCCCCCCGCGCGCTCGCTCCCCTCCTTGCGCGTTCTTCTCACGCTTTCCGTGTACTCCTTATCTCGTTTTCCGCCGTTCGTCCTCCCTTCCGTTCCCCCCGCCCCCAACCCCACTCCCACCCTACGTTTCCCTCACTTTTCCCTGCTCTTTTCAACCTTTCCATCCTTGACTGACTGATTCGGCTGACATTTATTCATCGCAATAACGTCGTGCCACCGCAATTGCTCTCGCCCCGTGTTTGCTCTGCGCAGTCGGCTGCGGCCAGAGCGGCAGGAGGGGGAGGGGGAGGAGGCGGAGGGGGGTCGTACCCTGGAGCGCAGGGCGGAGGGGAGCCGGTGACGATCAAGATCCCCAACAACAAGGTGCGCCCTATGAGCGCTTTAATCTACTCGCGTCCCACTTGATTTCTGCTTTTAAATCATCGTATCCGTTTTAATATTTCCCCTTTTTTTCTATTTTGTTGATGTATAACTAATTTCAATGTCTTTTTCCCATAATGTCGTGTTCTCTGGGAATCGTCTCCTTTGTGCGACCGCTTTCAGGTCGGCCTCATGATTGGTCGAGGTGGAGAGACGATTAAGAGCCTTCAGGCGCGCTCCGGTGCAAGGATTCAGGTATGCATGCTCCCCCCCACTCTGTTGCTGGCGTATCACACTGCATGCAGACACTTGGCACACATTTTTTTTCATTTGACGCTCCCTTCGCTGCGCCCTTACTCCCTCCCCACACCCCTCGCTTCCCTTTCCACGCGTTTATCTCTTCCCTCTTCGCTGCTCGCCGCTACCGCTCCTTTCTCACACTCCCATCCGTCTTCCCCTACCTCCCCTCCCCCTCCCCCCACACCATCACACCCCGTGCTGCACGCGGCTTGTTGCGGTGCGTGCAGGTGCAGAGCGATCGCGAGGTGGAGCCGGGGTGCACGGAGCGCAACGTGATGCTGATGGGCAGCAAGGCGCAGACGGACATGGCGCAGGACCTCATCAAAGAGGTCCTCGATGACGTGCGTTGCCGCTCCCCCTTCCCTACCGCTCCCTCTTCCCCCCCCTCCCCCCCTCTCTTCCCGCCTTCCCTTACGTCCCCTGTTCCACCTCGCCCTCCCTCCCCCCTCCTCTCCCCTCTTCCCGCACTCCCGGCCCCTCGTTCTGGAGCCCGTTAACTGGTGCGCTGCGTGCGTGAACTTGCCGTGCTCTGGTCGCCGTTTGTTGCCGCTCTTTCTCTGTCTATCTCTCTTCTCTTGATCTTGCTTCTTGAGTCCTCTCTGTTGCGCGTGCTGTGGATTCTCCGTGAGCGGAAACGCTAACAGGCGTGTTGTGGGTGCGTAACCCACACTGCTCTGTCCCACGTATCTCTTGGCATAGTATGCGAGTGTCATTGGTTCCTCTCGCTGCCCTGCTTTCGTGCGCGCCTGCTTCCTTTCTCGGCCCAAACAGCTTCCCGTTTCGTGCGAGATGCAATGCGTAGCTCTGTTGGCAGTGACTCGCTTCTCCTGTGGCGTCTTCTCGTCACAATCCCTAAACCAATGCCAGTACACTGCGCTTCCTTGCAATGCTGTGCCATGTGGTCCATGCAATGCAATGCCGTCCCGTGCCATGCCATGCCATGCGATGTGACTATCGATGCCCAGAGTCGTCTCACCCTGTGTGATTCCACTCCACACGGCTGGCTGCGTGGGTGTCGCTAGTGTGCAGAGCACAGCAGGGGACGCACTCAGCGCGCCACGCCACTCGCCCTCTCCGCGCGTCACTGCGTGCCTCGCGGCGCTGCTCCTTCAGTTGCCCTGCGCACCACACCAAACCGCACCAGACCACACCAGCCCAGCCCTCTCCCCTGCCTGCCTGCGCGCCTCCCCTTTCTGATCCTCTGTCCTTGCATCTCTCGCGCTATCGTGCTTGGGCTTCGTGCTTAGACTTCCTGGTGCCTCTCGTCTCTTGATACGGACGCTGTCATTACACCTCTCGTTCGTGCCTTCGCGTGGAAGTTGTGAAACGCCTCTTGTGCTCGCCTCCCGTGACCTTCGTTACCCGCTCATGCTCGTGCCCCTCATCTCGCTGGTTTCGCATGGTGGGATGGAATTTCTGTGTCTGGTCAGCACATGTTGTCTTGATTCCCTCTCTTTCTACTCTGTGTTGCCCGCACCGTTCGGACTACATTTTGCCACTCTCCGCCTCACTGTACGTACCTCCCTTACATTGCCCCTCCGTTTTTACCCTCTCTCTTTCCCCCTTCTCCGTCTCTCCCTCTCCCCCTCTCCGTCTCTCCCTCTCCCCCTCTCCCGCTCCCCCCCCACCCGCATTGCTCGCCCTGCAACCCGCCGGTTATCCATCCGAGTACTATGCGCGCCTGTTACGATCGATCATGCCTTTCATCGTTTTTTTCTGCCTTTCTGCGTCTCTTGTTTGCCTTGTGTGCTCCCCCGTTCCCCTCCCACCCCCCGCCTCCCCTGCTCTCTCTCGCTCCTTGCCTTGCCCTTGCCCTTGTCTCTCCCATCTTGGTTGCATGCCTGTGCTTGTGCTTGTCTCGCTCGTCTCGCTCTCCCGCCCTTCGGTCTCCCCCTTGCTGCCCCTCTACTCCCCTGCTCCCCTTGTGGTTGTATGCTTCTTGTATGCCGCTCCTCCTGCTCTTTCCCGCCTCCTCTTTTGCCCGCCCGCTCTCTTCTCTCTTGCTCTCTTGCTCTCGTGCCCTCGCCGCTCCTCCTCTCTCTCTCCCCCCGCGCGTCATTCGCAATGCAGCCTCGAAGGTCAGGCCCCGGTGGTGGCGGAGGGGGAGGTGGCGGAGGGTACGGGGGGCAGCAGGGGGGTTACCGCTCAGGCCCGGGCGGCTGGCAGGGCGGAGGGGGCGGCGGAGGATACCAGCAGCCGCCCCCAGGGCAGCAGCCGCAGCAGGGCGGGGGGTACGGGGGGGATACAACCAGGGGGGATACGGGGGTCCGCCGCAGCAGTACGGGCAGCAGGGCTACGGGGGCGGGTACGGGGCGCAGGCAGGGGGAGGCGGGGATTACCAGCAGCAGGGGGGATGGGGCGCGGGCGCACCACCAGGGGGGCAGGGGCCTCCCCCTCCCGCCCCGCCAGCACAGCAGCCGCCAGCAGCACAGCCGCCCGCGCAGCCTGCAGGAGGCGCGCCAGCAGGGGGGGGATACGATTACTATGGGCAGGGCGCACAGGCACCTCCCCCTGCTGGGGACGGGGGGTATGCTTATGGCGCACAGCAGGGCGGGCAGGCGGGGTACTATGGGGGGTACCAGCAGGGGTACCCGCAGCAGCAGGGGCAGCAGGCGCCTCCTGCGGGGTATGCTGCGCCGGGGGGGTATCCGCAGCAGCAGGGGTATGATCAGCAGGGGTATGGGCAGCAGGGGTATGCCCAGCCAGGGTATGGGGCGCAGCAGGGCGGTTATGATTACTACGGGCAGGGGCAGCAGGCGCAGGGAGGGCAGGATGCGTACGGGCAGCAGCAGCAGCAGCAGCCGCAGCGGCAGGGCAGCAGGCGGGAGGGCAGGGGTATGGTGGAGCGGAGGGTGGGGCGCAGGGAGGGTATGATTACAGCGCGGCTGCCCCGCCTGCTGCTGCTCCTCCTGGCGCTGCTTAGCTTGCGCGTCTCTCAAGGGAGTGTGTTGCCATTGCTTCCATTCCCCTGCACTTGCACCCTTTGCTTGCTTGGTTGCTTGGTGCACTGCTGCTTTGAGTTGCTGCTTTTGGTGTGCCGTGTTGCGTGATTGTTCCCCTGTGCTGCTACCGTACCATGTGTCCTGCATGACTAGTGACTAATCAGAGGTGCATGGAGAGTGTCTTTCCAAAGCAGCCGTATGCTGTGGGCTGTATGGCAATTGCAGAGAGCCCGTATTAAGCGGGCTACCCTCTACAGCTAGATTAAATCAATAGTATAACATCTTGTAGTCGTTTACTTGATTCTGCTAATGTTTGAATGTGCCTTGGTTGACTTACTGCTCCCATTTCTGTCATTCTAAATTTTATAGGCGCGACTTATCTCGGGAAGAGCTGCGAACACCAAGCTCAGTATAATGAGGCAATCTGGGAAAATCTGCAAATAAGATATGATCTACACCTTCCTTTCTTTGATATGCTCTTGAAGCTCCATTGCAGCAACAATGGATGCCATCTACTGAAGCAGCAGTACCCTAAACCAATTCTATCTTGACTGACGCCAGCAGTCAACCACACTATTCTAGAACCCAAACTTGAACCCCCCATCACCCGCATTAGCAGCTTGTTCCCAGAACGCAGCCTTCTGCTTGCGCCTGCGCTCGCGCTCCTCCTCTTCCCGCTGCTCCCTCTCCAGCAGCCCCGGGCGGTGCACGGCGAGGCACTGGCGGAAGCGGTCGTGCAGCCCCTCGCGCTGCCCCTCGCCCATGCCCGACACCAGCACGCGCGCATTGGGGCGCTGCAGGAACCGCATCACATCCAATAGGTTCGCACTGGAGGGTGGGTGGATCAAGGTGAGGGTATGGGAGGGGCAGAGGGGAATAAGGGGGAGAACGAGGAGAGTGAGTTGGGAGGGAGGCTGACACATGAAAGACATGTTTTGGACGGGAAAGGAGTGGTCGGAGGAGCAGGTGATGGAAACAAGGCAGGTGACTGAGGTGACGAGTGGAAAGAAGATGCAGGCATGCATGCGTGTGCATGAGCCTGCATGTGTGTGCATGTGCGAGAAGCAAAGATGCTTCTAGTCACGAGTCCGTGCCCACCTGGAGACGTAGTTCTGAGTGACAGCAATGGACTCCTCCAGGTTGAGCACAATGTGCCACCACCCATGCGGCACAAACATCACCTCGCCCGCCGCACACACGCCCTCATACGCCGTCACCGGCCCCCGCCGCATCTCCTCGTAATAGTTCATAAACCACTCTGTGATCGACACCGGAGCTGCCACGTCAGCGCCGTCGGGGCTCGCGCGCACGCCAGGTGGCGGGCCCTCGTTGGGCGGGAAGAGGATCCACTTCTTGGAGCCGGTGATGACGGCGTTCCATGCGCACGTGGAGTTGGGGTCTATGTGCCATGACGACCCCGACCGTGCAGGGCCCATGATCAGCCACCGGAAATCAGGCCGCCCACTCGCCTCCTCCTTCTTCCCTTGCCCCTCGCTCTCTCCCTCACCCACACCCGCCTCTCCCCCATCCCCCCTTTCTCCCCCAGCTCCCTCTGCGTCCCCCGTGCCCCGTTCGCCCCCGTCACCCCCGTTCGCCCCCCCATCCGCCCCCAGGTCCAGCACTTGAAACAGGTCTTCACGAAAGTACTCAGGGACCACATAGTCCCCCACCACAGCCGGCGCCTTTTCTCCAAACCGCGCGTCAAACACGTACAGCGGCCGCTCCTCCTGCACGCCGTCCGCGTACCGCCAGTACTGATCCAAACTCAACTCCACCGGCCCACACGCAAATGTCTTACCGCCTGCTGCGGCACGCAGGTACTCGCGGTTCTGCCAGCGGGACAGCGCCGGCCAGTGGCTGATGGCGCCTGTGATGATGACGGGCCGCCCCGGGCGCTCGAAGCGGGCGGCGAAGTCGGCGGGGGAGAGAGAGGTGGCGGCGACGCGCGGGATGTTGTCGTGGGCGGTCCAGGCGGGAGGCAGGGCGAGGCTGGTGCACAGCCAGCTCTGGAAGAAATAGTCTGAGTAGAAGTCCGGTACCTGGTGTGGGGGGAGGGAAGAAGGTTGCCAATGCTGATGCTGATGTTGATGCTGATGCTGATGTTGATGCTGATGCTGATGCTGATGCTGATGCGCTGATGCTGATGCTGATGCGCTGATGCTGATGCTGATGCTGATGCGCTGATGCGCTGATGCTGATGCTGATGCTGATGCGCTGATGCGCTGATGCTGATGCTGATGCTGATGCTGATGCTGATGCTGATGCTGATGCCGATGCTGATGCTGATGCTGATGCGCTGATGCTGATGCTGATGCGCTGATGCTGATGCGCTGATGCTGATGCTGATGCTGATGCGCTGATGCTGATGCTGATGCGCTGATGCTGATGCTGATGCGCTGATGCTGATGCGCTGATGCTGATGCTGATGCTGATGCTGATGCGCTGATGCTGATGCTGATGCTGATGCGCTGATGCTGATGCTGATGCGCTGATGCTGATGCTGATGCTGATGCGCTGATGCTGATGCTGATGCTGATGCTGATGCGCTGATGCGCATGCGCATGCGCTGATGCTGATGCTGATGCTGATGCGCTGATGCTGATGCTGATGCTGATGCGCTGATGCTGATGCTGATGCGCTGATGCTGATGCTGATGCTGATGCGCTGATGCTGATGCGCTGATGCGCTGATGCTGATGCTGATGCGCTGATGCTGATGCGCTGATGCTGATGCGCTGATGCGCTGATGCTGATGCTGATGCGCTGATGCTGATGCTGATGCTGATGCGCTGATGCTGATGCTGATGCTGATGCGCTGATGCTGATGCTGATGCTGCTGATGCTGATGCTGATGCGCTGATGCTGATGCGCTGATGCTGATGCGCTGATGCTGATGCTGATGCTGATGCTGATGCGCTGATGCGCTGATGCTGATGCTGATGCTGATGCGCATACGCTGATGCTGATGCTGATGCTGATGCGCTGATGCTGATGCTGATGCGCTGATGCTGATGCTGATGCGCTGATGCTGATGCGCTGATGCTGATGCTGATGCTGATGCTGATGCTGATGCTGATGCTGATGCGCTGATGCTGATGCTGATGCGCTGATGCTGATGCTGATGCGCTGATGCTGATGCGCTGATGCTGATGCTGATGCTGATGCTGATGCGCTGATGCTGATGCTGATGCTGATGCCGATGCTGATGCTGATGCTGATGCGCTGATGCTGATGCTGATGCTGATGCTGATGCGCTGATGCTGATGCTGATGCTGATGCGCTGATGCTGATGCTGATGCTGATGCTGATGCGCTGATGCTGATGCTGATGCTGATGCGCTGATGCTGATGCTGATGCTGATGCTGATGCTGATGCGCTGATGCTGATGCGCTGATGCTGATGCTGATGCGCTGATGCTGATGCTGATGCGCTGATGCTGATGCTGATGCTGATGCGCTGATGCTGATGCTGATGCGCTGATGCTGATGCTGATGCGCTGATGCTGATGCGCTGATGCTGATGCGCTGATGCTGATGCTGATGCGCTGATGCGCTGATGCGCTGATGCTGATGCTGATGCTGATGCCGATGCTGATGCTGATGCTGATGCGCTGATGCTGATGCTGATGCTGATGCGCTGATGCTGATGCTGATGCTGATGCTGATGCGCTGATGCTGATGCTGATGCTGATGCGCTGATGCTGATGCTGATGCTGATGCGCTGATGCTGATGCGCTGATGCTGATGCTGATGCGCTGATGCTGATGCTGATGCGCTGATGCTGATGCTGATGCTGATGCGCTGATGCTGATGCTGATGCGCTGATGCTGATGCTGATGCGCTGATGCTGATGCGCTGATGCTGATGCGCTGATGCTGATGCTGATGCTGATGCTGATGCGCTGATGCTGATGCTGATGCGCTGATGCGCTGATGCTGATGCTGATGCTGATGCCGATGCTGATGCTGATGCGCTGATGCTGATGCTGATGCTGATGCTGATGCGCTGATGCTGATGCTGATGCTGATGCTGATGCGCTGATGCTGATGCTGATGCTGATGCGCTGATGCTGATGCGCTGATGCTGATGCGCTGATGCTGATGCTGATGCGCTGATGCTGATGCGCTGATGCTGATGCTGATGCTGATGCGCTGATGCTGATGCTGATGCGCTGATGCTGATGCTGATGCGCTGATGCTGATGCGCTGATGCTGATGCTGATGCTGATGCGCTGATGCGCTGATGCTGATGCTGATGCTGATGCGCTGATGCGCTGATGCTGATGCTGATGCTGATGCTGATGCTGATGCTGATGCTGATGCCGATGCTGATGCTGATGCTGATGCGCTGATGCTGATGCTGATGCGCTGATGCTGATGCGCTGATGCTGATGCTGATGCTGATGCGCTGATGCTGATGCTGATGCGCTGATGCTGATGCTGATGCGCTGATGCTGATGCGCTGATGCTGATGCTGATGCTGATGCGCTGATGCGCTGATGCTGATGCTGATGCTGATGCGCTGATGCGCTGATGCTGATGCTGATGCTGATGCTGATGCTGATGCTGATGCTGATGCCGATGCTGATGCTGATGCTGATGCGCTGATGCTGATGCTGATGCGCTGATGCTGATGCGCTGATGCTGATGCTGATGCTGGGCAATGCAGGCTTAGAAGCAAGGTTCTGGGTTCTGCAGTGATACGACAAAACTCTGTCTTGGAGTGAAGGTGGGGAAGGGTGGGGAGGTGGGTGGGAAAGAATCAGGTTCTGGTCTGGTCAGCTAAGGCGCACCTTCAATGGCGGGCGGTACTGCAACACCCCGCGCTCCTCCCCATGCTTCTCCTTCCGCTTCACGCCCTTCCCCGCTCTGCATGCTTCCCCTCCCTTCCCCTCATCATTTCCATTCTTCTCCTCCACCCCTTCCGTCCCTTCCGCTCCCCCTTTCCCCTCTCCCTTCCCCGCCCCTTCCGCCTGTCCCCGTGCGCCCATGCGCCATTTCACGTAGGTCCACCGCCAGCTCGCCTCCCATTCGAACCCGCCTTCCGCGGATTCGAGAACCAGCGCGCGCCACAGCTCCTCCTGATGCGCCACCACGTGCAGCGCGCGGCTCGCCATGCCCACGTGGCACAGCGACTCGGCGGGAAGCCGCCCCATAATGTCCAGCAGGATCGGGTCCGGCAGGCGCCGCAGCGCGCCGAGCCCCGCGTCGCGCGCGTTGCGGAGGGGTTTAAGGGGGTTATGGTCGGAGCGCAGGAAGAGGTTCCCTAGGGGTTGCACGCCCAACGGATGCGCGCCGCGCTCCAACCCGAACCGCTGCCGGCTGCTGCTATCGCTAATGCTCGTGTCTTTCCTAGCTTCGTCGTCATCATTGTCGCCCACGTCGAACCGCACTCGCCGTCCTTCGCGGCGCCGCCGCCGCTGCTGTTCCTGCTGCTCATGCTGCTCCTGCGGCGACGGCTGTGGATCGTCCGATGGCGAAGCGCCTCCGGGTAGGAGGGTGTCTCCCCGCGCGGCACCTGACAGGGAGGGCGGAATGCGCCGTTGTCGGCTTGCGCCGAGCGCCTTGCGCGCAGCAAGGGAGCGCCGGCGGCGCAAGCGGTGAATGCGGCGGGGGAGGGAGGCGGCCCCGAGGAAGTGGTGGAAGCGGCCGAGCGGAGTCCATTCGAGCGCGCTGCTGGCGAAGACGGGGCAGGGGGGGACTGAGCGCGCTTTGGCAGTCATGGGGGACGCGGAGCGGAAGTGAGAAGGGGGAAAAGAGTACGGTGCGGAGAGGAAGCGCGCAATGTGTTATAAGTTCCAGCCCTCTTGGATTGCTGGAAATAAAATGCATCGAATGTTCGTGTCGTGGGGAAAAAAGGATCTGCGCAATCGACGTGAATACGCGGTAAGGTCCGATCCGACGGTGTTTCTCGTTAACAGCCGTTCCAAATGTGGGTACATATTCATGTGCAATTGCTAAACGAAAACAGACACCAGTGCTGCTGTCTTACACTTGGAAGATCAACACAGCCATGGTCAAGGGATGCCAGATGTGCTTTTTGATATACATACCATAATACATACATCTTATGACAGATGATATACAATACAACACACAAGCATGAGCACATGCAGCTAGGCACGCACCAAACACCATCCCTACCACTCAAAACCCGAGGGACCAGCTGCAACGCAACTCCAGCCACAAGCCAAATGCCGGCAACTCGTCACGACAGTACAGGCGAGAGCACGCGCAGGTTCTTGTATCGGGCAAAGATGGCCCAGTTGGGGTTGTTCACAGTGGAGGCGCTTCTATTGCCCGCCCACCACCCGTTGGCCACACTGCCGGCATCCCACATGCTGGCGTAGAAGAATGCTGGCTTGGAGGGGTACGCTTTAGATGGCACTGGTGCGTCTGGCTTGCTCTTGGCGGCGGGGAGGACGGAGGAGGCGTTGTACTCGACCCGCACTGCCTTGTAGTCTATGAACCAACTGTAATGTGGGGGAGGGAGGGGGGGCAGGAAGGGGGGGAGGAAACGGAAGAAATGGGGGAGGGGCAAGTACGAGAGGTGGGGGTGAAGCAGGCAGGATAGAAAGGGAGGTGTTCACAGTTCAGTGCAGGAAGGAAGTGCTTGCATGATGCGCAGATGCGTAAAGGGGGAGGTCACTGAGAGAGCATGTACAGTGGAGCATGTGCAAGCAGCACATGTGGCTTTCATGAGTCACAGGATATGGGCCATGGCAGGCAGAGGCACAAACATGGGTGTTAGCGTTTAGGGTGTTAGACCAGGAGCCGTTTGCTGATGGGGCACGTGTTATATAGCATGACATGGCGCATGGCCACGATGCACGAGGGGCTCTACTGGCCAGCACGTACACGAGCTGCAAGGGCGTCCAGAGGATGGCGTAGTTGTGGAAGGCAAAGCTACATGGCAGGCAGATACATGAACATGCGGTGCAATGTCGTCTTGCACGGCACAGCAGGCACGTACACGAGCTGCGAGGGCGTCCAGAGGATGGCGTAGTTATGGAAGGCCTGTGAGCAGTCAAAGCCCAGGTCGATGATCTTCTCGCGCCCGCCCACCCCACCCACGTAGAAGTTGGTCTGCACTATGGACTTGTTCTTGCCCAGCCACTCGAAGTCTATCTCGTCCTGTATGCCACTGCCCTCCAGGGATGACATCTGCATGCAAGCAATCACAGGCGGCAGGGTGCAAGTGCGGTGGAGTGAGTGACAGAGGAAAGTCAGGAGGCATGGCATGGCAGGCAGCAGGGTGCCAGTGCTCACCATGCTCTCCCAGGAGCACTGAGGAACTGCATGAGCGCATGGGCACTCTTTTCACTGCTATGGCTTCTCACTGCTATGGCTTCTCACTGCTATGGCTTCTCACTGCTATGGCTTCTCACTGCTATGAACCTTTCAAGGAGTGAGTGAGATCGGCACATACGTAGAAGCTGGTGACGATGCCGCTGGTGAGGCCCGGGGCACAGCGCACGTCACCACTGATGAATGCAAAGTAGTAGGGCAGTGACGACCGGAAGCGCGACCCTGCCATGAGCAACGCACACACAGGATTTAGACTCTCACTTCCCCACAAACGCTCCTCACTCCACCCACAAAGTTGAATGTGCGGCCATGATGCCATCACCCCATCACCCCAGCAGCAGCAGCATGGGCTCACCACAGCGGTTGTCGTAGCGGATGGTGGCGGAGCCATCGGTGCTGTTGGCGCAGGAGAGGCAGTGGTCGTCGCAGTAGTCCACCATCAGAGGCGCCATGATGCTGCCGTTCGTGCGCGGCCACTGCACCGCCCCTGGCGGCTTCTTGGGGGGCGCTGGGCCCACCTGCGCCATGAGGGGACCTATCACCGTGATGCCTGGGGGCAGGAAAGGGGGAAGGGAGAGGGGGTGGGGACGGGAGGGGGAGTGGAGAGGTGGGAAGGTGGTGTTGGGGGAGGGGGGAAGGAGGGGGAAGCATGACGAGGGGAGATAGTGCAGCGAAAGTAGGATAGAGTTCAATGGTCCCAAGCACAGACAAAATCTCGCACACACACGCACCAGTCCACTGGGCGAGGTTGGTGTAGTTGGCGGTGGCAACGCCAGCGCGCTTGGCCATGTTGGTGGCAGCAGCAGGGCGCAGCGTGCCGTACAGGTACATGGGCTGTGTGGGGTAGGAGCGCTTGGGACGGAACTGCAGCAGCCGCACCAACACCGCATCCACGTACCACCTGGTGGGGGGAGGGGGGATAGAGGGAAAGGGATGGATGGGGTGGGTGAGGATGGATGTGAGCAGGGAGTGGTTCAGGGCTAGTGGCGGCACAGAGGAGAGGAGAAGCAGGTCGGTCGGGAGGAGAGGGGATGGCTGACAGTGGGGCATGCCCTGAACCGCGCCTGCTTCTTGTCTCCCACCCTGCAACGCAAAGCTTTGAATGGGAGCGTGCAAACCCCCACAAGGCGACTCACCCCACCCAGGCGGCTCACCTGTGCAAGGAGATTCAGAGGCACACTTAAGCGGTGTACTTGGCGTCCCAGTAGATGGTGTAGAGGTGCGGCTGCTTCTCAAACCCCACCTTCCCATGCGACGCTTGACGTGCGAGTGCACGACTGTGGCAAGGCGATTCACATTGCAGGCGCACTCACGCAGTGTACTTGGCGTCCCAGTAGATGGTGTAGAGGTGCGGCTGTGCCTCGCAGGAGAAGTTGAGCGGCACAGCCACGGGGTAGGCGCGGCCGTTGACGTGGTGCGTCGCGTACAGCTGCGTCTTGTTGCGCCCGGGGAAGTCAAAACTCACCCCGCTGTGATTGCCCTCGCCCGCCATCGTGCTCAGCTGGGGGAACGGGGGAAGGGGGAAAGGGGGAGGGGGAAATACAGGGGGAGAGGTGACAGGGGTAACGTGAGTCAGGAGGTGCAGCAGATGGATTCAAAATGGTGAAAGGTTGGAGGAGAGGGAGGGATCGGGGTGCGAATAGGGATGGTGTGGTGGGGACAGGAGAGGAAGCGGCGATGAACGCAGAGAAGCGAGGGCGAAAACGTAGGTGAGGGGGCAGAGTGACAAGGAGGAGAGGGGCGAGGGGGGGCGACTCACGAAGAAGGAGAAGAGGAGGCCCGAAGTGTCGTTGGCAGGGCACGTCATGCGCGCTTGAAACACCCCCGATGAGTACTTGCTCAGTGACTGCCACCGTGACCCTGCCATGGGGATGGACATGAAGAGTCGTAGATGGATGAATGAATGAACACAGGGGAAGTTGAGGACAGGCGGTGAGACGAGCAGGGCGGGAGGCGGTAGCGATGATGGCACCATGCCTTTCACAAGAGAGATTTTGCGCACGCACATGCACACACACACATCCACACGCATCCACACATGCACACACATCCACACATGCACACACATCCACATATGCAATGCACGCGCACCTTTGGTGATGGAGGAGCTGCTGTTGCCGCCATCCGACGTGATGTTCACTGCATTGCCGTTCACCTGCACGTTGCGCGCCCCCATGGGCACCAGAATCGTGCTCAGCGCCTTGCCCGCACTGAACAGCCCGTACCACGGCCCGGGGGGAGGGGGCGGCGGCGGGGGAGGGGACGGCGGCGGGAGGGACGGCAGGGCGGTAGCAGCAGCTGTGGAGGCAGCTAGCTTGCGGGTGGAGGAGGGGACTGGGGAAGGGAAGAGCGCGGACGGCGATGGGGTCGGGGGTGGTGGAGGGCTGTGGTGCTGCGGTGCAGTCGGTGCCTGTGGGGACCTGTCCTGCTGCTCACTGCTGTCTGGCGAGCCCAACAGGCCCCTCCCATGCGCATGTGCCTCACCCCTGTCCCCTCCTCCCGCTGCACTCCCCTCTCCAGTCTTATCACCGCTACCAGCACCAGTACCAGCGGTAGCAGCAGCAGCAGCAGCAGCAGCAGCGAGGGTGGCGGAGACAGCGGAGTGCATGTGGGCAACAGCGTCCTTGGCGCTGCGCATGTGCTCGCGCGCCTCCTCCGCCGCCCACGCCTCCGCCTCCGCCTGTGCCTGCAGCGCTGCGCTCTCCTGCTCCTCCACCAGCAACCGCTGCTCCGTGCTCTGCGCACTAGCCCTGCGCACATAGCGGCATGGGGGGGAGAGCGGAGCGGGGCAATGCACCATGGTGAGTTCTTGTGCGAGTGTGTTTGCCGGCAAAAGGGTAGGTAGGGGAGCTTGGTCGTTGTGTGTGTGCGGGGTTGCATGAAGTGCAGCACATACACGTAGCAGGTGGGCATGGAGACAGTGACGTCGTCCATGGCAGCGCCCACGTCACCAGAGGCAGCGCGCCCCCCCTGTGCGGGCACGGAGCCAAAAGTGAGCTCGGCGCGCTTCCCCGCTGCTATGAACGTGAATCGCTTCACCGTCCACTCCTGGGTCTGCCATGGCGCACACAGGGGGAAGAGGAAAGGCGGGAGGCAGGGGATGGGATGTTGAGGGGGAGGCGGGGAGAGGAGATAAGGGTGGGGGATGAGGGGCATTGAGTGGCATGCTACAATTCATGTGCCTCGCCTCGCCTCGCACTCTCCCTCTGATATGGTGCCACCTCCTCATCACGCACCATCCAGCCTCGCCTCTCATCCGCCTCCTCCCTCGCTTTCCCCACCCTCTCATTCTCCCTCCTCTCCCGTTCAACTTCCCCTCTCGCTCTCACCATCTTCTCGTGCAGCACGTCGAAGTGCAGCTGCTGACTCGATGCCACGTCAGTCACGGACAGCATGACGGCAGCGGGCCAGCCGTCCACGTGGTGGGAGCGGATGGCGAACGACCCCTCGTACACGCACCCCGCGCGCGTGGGGAACGTTTGGGACACCGCTTGCGCCGCAACTTCCGGGGGAGAGGGAAAAGAGGAAGGGTGTGCGGAAGAGGAACGGGAGGTGCGGGACAAAAAAGCAGGTGGGGCGAGGGAGGGGCGGATGGTGAAGGGAAAGGGAACGGAAAGGAGATGAAAAGGTGGAGCGCGGCAGTAGGTTGGGGGGGGGGGGGAAGAGAGGTTGGTCGTGGGAGGGGGGGTGTTGGGGAGGAATGAGGGGACAGGTGGGGGCGAGGGTAGGGCCTTGAGGCTACCTGAGGGGATGAGAAGGTACTGCCGCGGCAGCGACGCGACCTGCCCTTGCCCCGGGTTTTCCGCTATAAGCGACTGCAGCTTGATGCGCGTCCCCACCACGTCCCACCCCGCTATCCGCCGCGCCGCTGCGCCAACTGCCCCGCGGACCGCGCTCATTGCGCTCGCGAGCTTTGCGCTGCCGTTGACGGCCGCTGACTCGGGGAGATCGAAGTCGCCGTTTAGAAGCAGCGTGTGCTTGGATGCTGGGAGCGCGACGAGCGCGGCGGGGAAAAGGGGAAGTTTTTGAGTGGGAGGAGAGGTGGGGGGGAGAAGGCGGAATGAATGAGGCGTGCCGCTAAATCCTCCAAAAAGTGGATGACAAAAGGGTGATTGCCTGCATTCCAAAGTGCCTCAAACGGTCGTGCACACGAGGTGCTTGCTCACGAGGTGCTTGCTCACGAGGTGCTTGCTCACGAGGTGCTTGCTCACGAGGTGCTTGCTCACGAGGTGCTTGCTCACGAGGTGCTTGCTCACGAGGTGCTTGCTCACGAGGTGCTTGCTCACGAGGTGCTTGCTCACGAGGTGCTTGCTCACGAGGTGCTTGCTCACGAGGTGCTTGCTCACGAGGTGCTTGCTCACGAGGTGCTTGCTCACGAGGTGCTTGCTCACGAGGTGCTTGCTCACGAGGTGCTTGCTCACGAGGTGCTTGCTCACGAGGTGCTTGCTCACGAGGTGCTTGCTCACGTGGTGCTTGCTCACGAGGTGCTTGCTCACGTGGTGCTTGCTCACGAGGTGCTGCTCACGAGGTGCTGCTCACGAGGTGCTGCTCACGAGGAAATTGCTCACGAGGTGCTTGCTCACGAGGTGCTTGCTCACGAGGTGCTTGCTCACGAGGTGCTCACGAGGTGCTTGCTCACGAGGTGCTTGCTCACGAGGTGCTTGCTCACGAGGTGCTTGCTCACGAGGTGCTTGCTCACGAGGTGCTTGCTCACGAGGTGCTTGCTCACGAGGTGCTTGCTCACGAGGTGCTTGCTCACGAGGAAATTGCTCACGAGGAGCTCACGAGGTTCTCTTGTGGCTCCGCGCGTTTAGCGAGTACACATACCGGAAGCGGAGACAGCGGGGGCGCGCAGGAGCGCGAGGAGCAGCAGGAGGCACGTCGTGGCGCGCCGATGTCTCGCGAAGGCGGCGACGGAGCGCAAGCGCGCTCTGCCGGCCCGCCGCGACGACCTTTGAGTGCACTCGCGACGCATCTTCAGGCTCGCGTTGCGGCGATATGCGGCTCGTGTATGTCGCGACGCGATCGCTCTGCAATGGTGGTCACAGCAGTGGTGCTGCTGCTAAGGGGACTCGAGGGAGAGGGGTTCACAGGCGGCGAGGAGCTATACAGCGTAGTCTTGACTCGACTTAAAATGAGCAATGCAGCGGCGCTTAGAGCTATGCTCTACGCAAGTGGGTGCAGCAGCGCTCTGTAGTCCCCGGTGGTGTGTGACTGTTTGTTGTTTGTTCGACTGTCACGTGGCTTTGAAGGGCTTCAAGATAGATATTTGGGTGCGGGAAAATCTCAATCTATTGGTGTGGGCCCGACAGGGAGGAGTGACGGCGCTAAGCGGCATGGCGAAGGTAACTCGAGCGGGTATGGCGCCGACGCACTAGAGAAGCGTGCAGGTCATGGCGGCGGGTGCGGCGAGCGCGCATACGCGATGGGCGGTGGGCAGCACGTGCGGCACTCGAAACGACGTGACGACGTATGTAAGCGTTGAACGCAAAGAGACGCAAGTGGATTCGCAATGAGTGCTGGGCTCGCAAGTGGATACGGGTAGGCTTGCGCTGGGGGCGCTGACTAGTTAATTAGCAGGCAGGCGATACGAGCAATTTCAGGTTCATGGTGAGAGCAATGGTTACTAGGGATGGGCCACTGCGCACGGTTTATGCTGCTTGGCTGACGTGGCGAGGTGAGGCGATGAGAGTCTGTTCTCGCGGCGTAGCGCGGTTTCGATTTACAGTGGCGCGAGGCAGGGCAAGGAATAGCAGCCGCGTCGGTAGTCGGCGGCAATAGACGAAGCGCTGGGGCAGCGTCGATCATTGCTGCTGGTTGGTGCTGAGGCGAGGGGGTATTTTGCGAGCAACGTGGGCCTGGTCAGCATTCAGGGAGTAGTCACAAGCGGAGGATTGAGGGAAAAAAGCCCCACTCCGGGCAGATGGGACGACTGTGCAGGTGGGGCGAATTGGAGCGCCGAATGCTGCCTTGCTTGGTTGTGGGGGGCTTGGAGAAGAGTGCGTCGGCGAATGGGTGGGTGGATGGGTGGGTGGGTTGGTGGGGAGGGCGAGGCTAGGCGGTGCTTGGTGGCGGTGGGGCTGGGAGAATTTTCTGTCGTAGCAGGGTGAATTGGTTGGGGGGAGCGAAATCAACCGGGAGCGCGGAAATTTGTCGTTTTGGTCACCAAAACGGCGTCACTGGCGCTGCCCGTGAAGACATGATGATGTGGTGCCGTTTGCATCTCCCGTTTCACCTGCGCCCTCCGTGTCGCAAGCAATCGCACAGACCACAAGCTATGGAGCCATTTGATGCGACACAGGCGATTTGCGAAAAAGCTGTTTCTTCAGGTCACCTGTGCTCCTAGCCAGACTGTTTCGCAGGTGATCGTTTGTCGCACGAATTCTCTCCCTTGGTCGGTTGATCGAGACGCTCTTTTGTTGACGACGGCCGTGACGCGATCCGACCTCACGCTGGGGTGGTGGTAGATTTGCAACGGCATGAAGACATCCTCGTGTAGCTAATATGCTAAACTCATATCATTAGTGTGGTGGATATGCTCCTGCAAAATCTACTCCTAGAATCATAATCAGATTGTATACACTCAGTATACATGTAATGAGGTGTATCATTTAGCATAGTCTACGACATTTGTCCTGCGACGTTTGTCCAGCTTTTATCGCAAACGTCGCAGGACAAACGTCGCAGGACAAACGTCACAGGAGAAACGTCGCACGACAAACGTCAGAGGATAAACGTCGCAGGACGAACGTCGCATGACAAACGTCGCAGGACAAACGTTGCAGGACAAACGTCGCACGACAAACGTCGCACGACAAACGTCGCAGGACAAACGTCGCAGGACAAACGTCGCAGGACAAACGTCGCAGGACAAACGTCGCACGACAAACGTCGCACGACAAACGTCGCACGACAAACGTCGCAGGACAAACGTCGCACGACAAACGTCGCAGGACAAACGTCGAAGGACAAACGTCGCAGGACAAACGTCGCAGGACAAACGTCGCAGGACAAACGTCGCAGGACAAACGTCGCAGGACAAACGTCGAAGGACAATGGTCGCAGGACAAACGTCGCAGAACAAACGTCGAAGGACAAACGTCGCAGGACAAACGTCGCAGGACAAACGTCGCAGGACAAACGTCGCAGGACAAACGTCGCACGACAAACGTCGCACGACAAACGTCGCACGACAAACGTCGCAGGACAAACGTCGCAGGACAAACGTCGCAGGACAAACGTCGCAGGACAAACGTCGCACGACAAACGTCGCACGACAAACGTCGCACGACAAACGTCGCAGGACAAACGTCGCACGACAAACGTCGCAGGACAAACGTCGAAGGACAAACGTCGCAGGACAAACGTCGCAGGACAAACGTCGCAGGACAAACGTCGCAGGACAAACGTCGCAGGACAAACGTCGAAGGACAATGGTCGCAGGACAAACGTCGCAGAACAAACGTCGAAGGACAAACGTCGCAGGACAAACGTCGCAGGACAAACGTCGCAGGACAAACGTCGCAGGACAAACGTCGCAGGACAAACGTCGCAGGACAAACGTCGCAGGACAAACGTCGCAGGACAAACGTCGCAGGACAAACGTCGCACGACAAACGTCGCAGGACAAACGTCGCAGGACAAACGTCGCAGGACAAACGTCGCACGACAAACGTCGCAGGACAAACGTCGCAGGACAAACGTCGCAGGACAAACGTCGAAGGACAAACGTCGCAGGACAAACGTCGCAGGACAAACGTCGCAGGACAAACGTCGCAGGACAAACGTCGCAGGACAAACGTCGCAGGACAAACGTCGCAGGACAAACGTCGCACGACAAACGTCGCAGGACAAACGTCGCAGGACAAACGTCGCAGGACAAACGTCGCAGGACAAACGTCGAAGGACAAACGTCGCAGGACAAACGTCGCAGGACAAACGTCGAAGGACAAACGTCGCAGGACAAACGTCGCAGGACAAACGTCGAAGGACAAACGTCGCAGGACAAACGTCGCAGGACAAACGTCGCAGGACAAACGTCGAAGGACAAACGTCGCAGGACAAACGTCGAAGGACAAACGTCGCAGGACAAACGTCGCACGACAAACGTCGCACGACAAACGTCGCAGGACAAACGTCGCAGGAAAATCGTCGCAGGACAAACGTCGAAGGACAAACGTCGCAGGACAAACGTCGCAGGACAAACGTCGAAGGACAAACGTCGCAGGACAAACGTCGCAGGACAAACGTCGCAGGACAAACGTCGCAGGACAAACGTCGCAGGACAAACGTCGAAGGACAAACGTCGCAGGACAAACGTCGCAGGACAAACGTCGCAGGACAAACGTCGCACGACAAACGTCGCACGACAAACGTCGCGGGACAACCGTCGCACAACAAACGTCGCGGGACAAACATCGCACGACAAACGTCGCACGAGAAACGTCGCACGACAAACGTCGCAGGACAAACGTCGCAGGACAAACGTCGCAGGACAAACGTCGAAGGACAAACGTCGCAGGACAAACGTCGAAGGACAAACGTCGCAGGACAAACGTCGCAGGACAAACGTCGCAGGACAAACGTCGCAGGACAAACGTCGCAGGACAAACGTCGCAGGACAAACGTCGCAGGACAAACGTCGAAGGACAAACGTCGAAGGACAAACGTCGCAGGACAAACGTCGCAGGACAAACGTCGCAGGACAAACGTCGCAGGACAAACGTCGCAGGACAAACGTCGCAGGACAAACGTCGCAGGACAAACGTCGAAGGACAAACGTCGCAGGACAAACGTCGCAGGACAAACGTCGCAGTAAAAACGTCGCAGGACAAACGTCGCAGGACAAACGTCGCAGGACAAACGTCGCAGGACAAACGTCGCAGGACAAACGTCGCAGGACAAACGTCGCAGGACAAACGTCGCAGGACAAACGTCGCACGACAAACGTCGCAGGACAAACGTCGCAGGACAAACGTCGCAGGACAAACGTCGCAGGACAAACGTCGCAGGACAAACGTCGCAGGACAAACGTCGCAGGACAAACGTCGCAGGACAAACGTCGCAGGACAAACGTCGCACGACAAACGTCGCAGGACAAACGTCGCAGGACAAACGTCGCAGGACAAACGTCGAAGGACAAACGTCGCAGGACAAACGTCGCAGGACAAACGTCGCAGGACAAACGTCGCAGGACAAACGTCGCAGGACAAACGTCGCAGGACAAACGTCGCAGGACAAACGTCGCAGGACAAACGTCGCAGGACAAACGTCGCAGGACAAACGTCGCAGGACAAACGTCGAAGGACAAACGTCGCAGGACAAACGTCGCAGGACAAACGTCGAAGGACAAACGTCGAAGGACAAACGTCGCAGGACAAACGTCGAAGGACAAACGTCGCAGGACAAACGTCGCAGGACAAACGTCGAAGGACAAACGTCGCAGGACAAACGTCGCAGGACAAACGTCGCAGGACAAACGTCGCACGACAAACGTCGCACGACAAACGTCGCGGGACAACTGTCGCACGACAAACGTCGCGGGACAAACGTCGCACGACAAACGTCGCACGACAAACGTCGCACGACAAACGTCGCAGGACAAACGTCGCAGGACAAACGTCGCAGGACAAACGTCGAAGGACAAACGTCGCAGGACAAACGTCGAAGGACAAACGTCGCAGGACAAACGTCGCAGGACAAACGTCGCAGGACAAACGTCGCAGGACAAACGTCGCAGGACAAACGTCGCAGGACAAACGTCGCAGGACAAACGTCGAAGGACAAACGTCGAAGGACAAACGTCGCAGGACAAACGTCGCAGGACAAACGTCGCAGGACAAACGTCGCAGGACAAACGTCGCAGGACAAACGTCGCAGGACAAACGTCGAAGGACAAACGTCGCAGGACAAACGTCGCAGGACAAACGTCGCAGGACAAACGTCGCAGGACAAACGTCGCAGGACAAACGTCGCAGGACAAACGTCGCAGGACAAACGTCGCAGGACAAACGTCGCAGGACAAACGTCGCAGGACAAACGTCGCAGGGCAAACGCCGCACGACAAACGTCGCACGACAAACGTCGCAGGACAAACGTCGCAGGACAAACGTCGCAGGACAAACGTCGCAGGACAAACGTCGCAGGACAAACGTCGCACGACAAACGTCGCACGACAAACGTCGCAGGACAAACGTC